TAATGATATAATTATTGTTAAATAAGAAAGATTAAAGTAATTAAATATTATAATATATGCTAACTAAAAAACGGCTAAATATGTTCACGAATATGCTTAATGTAATCGTTTGTTAGGAGACTCGATAAAGCTCGTTTGTTAAGTTAATGAACATCTAGAAGTAGAGCTCGCTTATAGCCTCTTTAAGGCTTATTTGTTTAAAGCTTGATAAGCAATAAACGAGCCAAACATGAACCAAACATGAATTAAATATAAACACTCATTAATTTAAACGAACTAAATATGAACACAAACAATAAATCTAGAATCAAACATGAACCAAATTTGAGCAAGCTGATAATAAATGAACTCGAACACGAACACTCACATACTCAGCTCGGCTCGGTTCGTTTGCAGCCCTAGTTAGATATACAATTATATTAAAATTGTATGGTATATATGTGAATCCTTTAATCATTTATATTGCATAAATAAAAAAAATTATTGCATAAATATTTATTAAGATTATTTAAGAAAAAAATTCTTCCAAGTAAAAATATTTGATGCTTTTCAAATTTAATTGATTTCTTTATTAAAATTAAATTCTATATATATAGATAGAATTATTATTTTTCATAAATCAGTCCATTGGAAGGCTTATCATCTCAGCCTTGCAGTAGCTTCATTAAGTCTTCCTTTGGGACGGCTTTCTTACTGCTTCTTAAAACTACTTTCTAGTTAAAAAGTTAAAATTTTTATATAAAAAATCGCTTTAAAAAGTAGAAAAAAATCGTCCCAAACGAAGCCTAAATAATTAAACCAGTTACGAATAATAAATGCGCAATACACGAAAACGGAAACAGATAGGATACCGTTCCCACAGTGAAAGCTGCTCATCTCAGCTTTATTTTTTTAACGTTTAGCGAATTTTATCTCAATTTTATATAAAACCTTCCGATTTGAATAATTGAACAAGCAGGCAAATAAATGGGCAAATGGAAGTAATTTGGGTTATATTTGATTTAATTTTTTTCAAACAATCATACAATATGAATATATATTAGCTTTTTATAATATTTATTTTTGATACGACATCGCAAAATCATCTTGATCGGGCGCGAATCTCGAGGCAAAAGCTAGTTGGAAGTTTCAATAATTAATTCCGGGAGCATCCGAACTCCGATTTCAACGAGCTTACAGTCAAACTGAGCGTCTCGGAAATACGAACCCAACGACACCAAGATCAACCCAATCCGAGCCCAAATGAGTCCGAATCAAGGGTTCAAAGCGCTATCGGAAGGTTCAAACCGCAATTTGAGTTACCAAACGGTCTCCGATTTTGACGATCTTATACTTGAATCGAACAGCTCGATGAGACGAATCCAACGACCCCAAGATCACTAAATTACGACATCAAGGAATCCAACGAATGGTGCATGGTCATAGGATTCAATATCAGCCGTCCATTTGACCACTCCCTATTCGCCCCTGATCTCACGCCTATTTACGGGCCATGCCACTCCAGAAAATCTATAAATAGAGCCCTCATTCTTCACAAGGGAGGGGCCAAGTAAGAGAGAGAAGAAGAGAAGAGAAGGAAGAAGAGAAGGAAGGAGTTCCTCCTCGACAGCCGCCGGACCATCGCCGGACCACCGCAGAACCGAGCCGGACCACCGCAGGAATCTCGTCGGACCACCGCCGGACCACCGCAGGAACCTCGTCGGACCACCACAGAACCTCGCCGGACCACCACCTTAAGGCCCGACGTTCAGTCCCTACATCCTGCCGAAGACCCGACGTCTTGTTCAAGGCCCGACACTCAGTCCCTACGTTCTGCCGAAGACCCGACGTCCTACTCAAGGCCCGACACTCAGTAGTGGAATTATTTTTCAACTGGGCTAGGCCTCGTGGTTTTTCCCCTTTTCAAGGGTTTTCCACGTAAAAAATCTTGTGTTCTCTGTGTGTGAGCTAGTTATCCGTACAACGCTAAGACGCAGAATTAAATCTCTATCGCCGCGTATTTTCTAGCCCGCAACAATTTTATTAACTATATATTTAATATTTAATATTTAATAATTCTATCATATATTTTTATATTTAATAATTTTGCAAATTAGGGGCAATTTAGTTTGAAGTAAAATATATAGGGTATTTCAAAATATAGGAGTTTTGAAAAATATTAGTGTTTAGTTTGAATTAAAACAAATGCACTGTCTAAATTTGATGCATTTGGAATTTGTCGTTTAGTTTATTTTTGTTGTATTTAAAATTCGTCTGATTTGTTCAATTTCTAAATATATTATAATTTCATCTTCATTACCGTTGCATGTCACCAACCCCCATCGCCACCACCTAGGGTTGTTGTCTTTCACCGTTGACCACCCTTGCTGTCACCTCCACCGATCATCCTCGCTATCACTAGCATCAGCCACCGACCTCCATTGGCCACAATTGTCGATGACCTCCCACTATCATTTGCCACCCACCGCTGCAAACCACCGCTGCAAACCACCGCTACCTCATTGTCGTAAGGAAAAACATGCTGCTGACAATTGCCGGCCACCTCCAATTGCTAACCACCACCTTAACTATTGCAAGGGGTATAAGTGAGTTGAGCCAGCTCGAGCTTCGAGCTAAGCTTATTGAGTTCCGAGATCGAGTTTGAGCAGAATTTTGAGCTCAAGTTTGTTCCAGCTTATGCTCGGCTCAATTGCTTGTGAGGCCGCTCAAGTGTGCATAAAGCGGGATCGCAGTCGGACACAAGAAGACAAAATAGCTTGTGGGAAGACGGGTTCGCACGCGGGAAGATAAAATAGCATGTCGCATGCGGGAAGATGAAATAGTGGGCGGAAAGAAGAAATCACCTACAGGACAGAAAGCTCGGACGCGGTGTTAGATTATCAAAGCTTAAAGGCGGGGCAAAAGCTTGGACGTCAAACAAAAGCTCAAACACGAAATCGAGCTCGAACCTTTAATTGAATCAAGTGACTCGACTTACTCAGTTTTGTGGTATGAGCTGAGCTTGTGCTCGCCTTTTGAGCTCAACTTGAGGACAAACTTGAGATTTGGCTCTCAGTTCAAGCCTGAGTTAGGTCTGACTCGAGGTTGACTCGACTAGTTCACACCCTTAGCTACCATCATCACTATTGGCTATCGACCAACACCCTATTTTGACTTTATAGTGCATTCATTTTACTTCAATCAAAAAGATCTTAGACTTTCCTTTTACATTTATCCAAACCATTTTAAATATTCATTTTATATTTGATACATACTCCAAAAAATTATCTTGATCGGGCACGAAACTCGAGGCAAAAGCTAGTTGGAAACTTCAAAAATTAATTTTTTGAGCCCCCAAACTCCTATTTAAGCAAGCTTATAATCAAACTGAGCGTCTCGGAAATAAGAACCCAACGACACCAAGATCGACCCAATCCGAGCCCAAATAAGTTCGAATCAAGGGCTCAAAGCGCTGTTGGAAAGTTCAAACCGCAATTTGAGTTACCAAACGGTCTCCGATTTTGACGAGCTTATACTCAAATCGAACGGCTCAACGAGACGAATCCAACGAGCCTAAGATCGCCGAATTCCGACATCATTAAGGCCTTAAAATGCCCAACGAACTGTGCATGATCAAAGGATTCGATATCGGCCGTCCATTCAAAACACTCCCAATTCGCCCATGATCTCACGCCTATTTATGGGCTATGCCACTCCAGAAAAGCTATAAATAGACCCCTCATTCTACACCAAGGGGACTCGAGTGAAGAGAGAGAAGAAGAAGAGAAGAAGAGGAGAAAGGGGAAAAGGAGAATCCTCTCCTCCTCGACAACCGCCGGAGTTCATCCTACCTCCTGAAAACGCCAGGATTCTGCGTGATATTTGGGAGAAAGCAGGAATTCTACCCAACTTCCACGTGATGCTGAAATTCTCCTCAATTTGCAACAAAGTTCCCTCATGTCGCCGAAACTCCGCCCAAGTGAAGCCGGAGTTCTCTTTTGCCACCAACAGACGTCAGACTTCTACCCAACGTCGAACCTTCACTCTTCGCCCAGTTTCTACCCGGCGCCGGACTTCTACCGGTTATCAGACTTCGCTGGACGTCTACGCGAAGATGGATTTCTTTCCATTGTTGAACTTCTACCTGATGCTGTCCTTCTGATCTTCGTCGCCGACTACAGTCTTTCCGACCTCCGTCGCCCGCAGACTTGGTCCTCCTGACTTACATCGCCCGCTGACTACAGTCCTTCCGACCTCCGTCACCAGTTGACTACGGTCCTCCTGACTTCCGTCGCCCGCCGACTACAGTCCTTCCAACAAAAGCGAATATGTCAATAGTAGCTCTTTGTATTTACATCATGTAACGTACTCTATAAGCTAAGGCCTTCTCCCAAGGAAAGGCCTCATTTGTAATCGACTGCAAATACTAGTGGATTCGTTCAAACTGGGCTAGGCCCCGTGGTTTTTCCCCCTTTTTCAGGGGTTTTCTACGTAAAAATCTTGGTGTCTCATAAATGCTAGACCCTCTCTCTTATCTGATTGCGTGCCGAATTTTTGTACAAAGCTAAGACGATAAACTTTATATTTCTCTACCGCCGCGAATACTCGTGGACGCAACAATATTATATTTCTTTAAGCCAACCAAACAAATCCCTTGGTCTAATAAAATTGTAATTTTGCCTTTTGTATTCTTCTTACCTACCTCCAAGCCAGTGCCTTAATCGGCCCAAACTTGAATGGAAGACCCCAAATAGCCCAATAATTACTTCCATTTTTTTATGACAGGCTATAAATTACCAAAAAAAAAAAAATTGCAATTAGCTCCAAAATTGTGCTGACCCGTAGCAAAGTTTGGGCGGGCCAATAGACCATTTATCTTTCCCCAAAGCCTCCGAAGACCCTAAAACCCTGCCTATTTAATTGCCAAACATGCCTCAACCAAGAGAGACGGGGACAAACCAGAGAACCCTTATCAAACCCTCCCCATCTCCTCCTCCATTAATCCCTATTCCCCATCTACAATGGGGGCCGGTGATTCCGGCAACTCCGCCGCCGGCCGACTAGAATCTATCCTCACTGATCCCTCCCTCTCCTTTCCCCGCCGCCTCTTTCTTGCATCCGGCGTCGAATCCCGCCTTCTCATTCGCCTCGCCGCCCCCGCCGTCATCGTCTACATGGTCAACTACGTTATGTCTATGTCGACCCAGATCTTCTCCGGCCACCTCGGAAATCTAGAGCTCGCAGCCGCTTCTCTTGGTAACACCGGCATTCAGATATTCACTTATGGCCTCATGCTGGGAATGGGTTCCGCCGTTGAAACTCTGTGCGGCCAAGCCTATGGCGCTCACAAGTACGAAATGCTCGGCGTCTATATGCAGAGATCCGCTGTCCTCCTCGCCGGCACTGGCGTTCCCCTCGCCGTTATTTACGCCTTATCGCGTCCGATCCTCGTGCTTCTCGGACAGTCGCCGGAGATCGCCGAGGCGGCATCTATTTTTGTTTATGGCCTTATACCGCAGATTTTCGCGTACGCGGTCAATTTCCCCATTCAGAAATTCCTGCAGGTAACGAATATCGAAGAACATGTTCAGTTCTACGTTGAGCTAGCTCACTTTAAAATAATAATAAAAAATTAATAATAAGAGATATTTACATACATATCAATTTATTTCATGTTATTTATATATTTAATTTAAAATTCTAATATTGCATGCATATCATCTATAAAATAAATAGAAGTACATGAAATAAAATATTAAAATTTATAAGATAGTTATTTTTTTAAATTTTATTTATATTTCGATTGGAAATAAAATTATATTAGATATCCTAAATAAAATTAATTCTTAATTTTTATTAAATGTTGGACAGTTGGTTTATTTTCTGATTTGAAAAAGGATTGTGATGTCAAAATGTCTTTTTCTTAGGGTGGGCGAAATTTTAATTAATTAGATAATAACATTAATAATAAATAAAATAAAATAAAATAATAAAAATAATATTAATAAAATAATAATATCAAATAGTAATAATAACAAAATAATTCTTTTAAAATATAAGCAACATAATGCTATCAAATTTATAAGAAAATTTTTTTATCGTTTATCTTCTAATTACATGATAGGAATGTCGAATGCGATCGAGAAGAAGACAGCTGCGAGGCGGCGTTGTCTTGATTGTCGAATGAGTGAATCGCGAAAGCGGCTGAGAAGTGAAAACTTGTGGGATGGACAACGAAGATTAAGATGATAATATTAGAGAAAAAATATTTTTTTGAGGAGCAAAAAATCAAAATTCCCTTACTAATACATTATTTATTTTTTTGAGGATGGATATTTTCCCACCTTCACATCAAGGGCGATCCGCTCATACGGCGAAGAATGATATTATACATTGTTGGGGTGGGTGTTGGGTTATCCGACGTCGAGCACTATCGTAGGCCGTAAAATCGAGTGAAAAGTACTTCATATTTTGGAAAAATAATAAAATATGTATTTAAATTAGTTTCATTGTTTCTTGGATCAACTTAAATTTTTTAATAAAATATTTTCCAAAAACTAAAATAAAATAGCAACAAAATTTCATTCTCCCTTTTTATTAATCAAACGAAGAAGAGAAATAAAAAAAAAAAGAACAAAATTTTTATTTTATTCATTTTTAATATATTTAAAATTTAACAATTAGTGTAATCGGGTGAAATTCAAATATATCGCCTGTCTGAATCGCCGTCAGTCATTACTGCGGCCACCTGCAACAGCTTGCCGCTGTTCTCCTCTGCTAGCAGTCAGCAAAACCGCCACTTTTTCTTCGATTATTTTATTAAAGTACAATCCCGCCATTCTTTGTTCAATTTTCTTTCATTTTTATCGAATAATATTGTTATAGTTAAGTAAAATTTAAAAAACAAATGAGTTATTTTTTTTTATATTGTAAGTTGTAACACCTTTCGTTCATCATCTACAGGCACAGAGCATCGTGGCGCCTAGCGCGTATATTTCAACGGCGACGGTGTTGTTGCATCTAGTATTAAGCTGGCTCGTGATCTACAAGATACGGCTCGGTCTTCTAGGGGCGTCGCTAGTTCTCAGCCTTTCCTGGTGGATTATAGTGGTGGCGCAGTTCATTTACATAACGACGAGCCGGAGGTGCCGGCTCACATGGACCGGTCTCAGTTGGCAGGCTTTCTCCGGGTTACCGGAGTTCTTGAAGCTGTCGACGGCGTCGGCCGTGATGCTGTGCTTGGAGACGTGGTATTTCCAGGTGCTGGTGCTTATCGCAGGGTTGCTGGAGAACCCGGAGCTCGCGCTCGATTCGCTCTCGGTCTGGTGAGTGGTTTGCGTTTGAACCGGGTTTGGTCGGCTGTGTTGGACCGGCGTTAGGTATGTCGAAAGATATGGGATATGGGGATAGGGAAGTGGGCCGTTGGGACTTGGTGCTTGCTTTTCAGAAATTAAATTATTTAGATTAATTACTATTTAATTAATTTTTGTTATTATAATTCACCCTGCAATAATGAATCAAATCACAATTTCCTAGAGTAATTAATATTAATTATTTACTTAGGTTGATTAAGAAGTAATTATATATATATTTTTTGTTTTTCAAATAAAAAAATGTAGATCATTCAATTTTTTTTAATTTAAATTTAAATAAAAAATTTTAAAAAAACCATAAAAATTTAAATCAAAATCTAAACAAATCGAAGCAAAACCAAATAGCTAATTCTTGGTGTCATATTTAAGCCTAGCTCGAGCAAGGGGGTGTTCGAGTTGAGTTCGACTGCCAAATACCGAGCTCAAGCTCAAAAGATGAGCTCGAGCTCAAGTCAAGCTCGACTCGTCTCACGAAATAAGTCGAGTTGACCAGCTCGTCAAGCTCCTTCCCGACCTGCGTCATCTGCGTGTCCCGCTCATAATCCCGAGCTATGTCAACTGTGAATCTCGCTTCTGCATGCGAATCCTGCTCTTGCCTGCGAATCCCGCTTCCTCTTGCGAATCTCGCTCCCGCCTAAGTCGTCTTCTCTTATGTGAGCTACTCGACGAGCTCTCGAGTCGAGCAGCGGAGTGTTCGAACTTGGTTTCGCTAAGCCTTCGAGCTCAAAATTGTGTTCGAGCTCGATAAGCTCGACTCGTCGAGCCCGAGCCGGCTTAACTCGGTTGCACCCCTACTTGACATACAGCTATGTGCTCCATTAGTTAGGTGGAACCCCCTTGCCTTCAAGCTTCATTGGCTCGATCTCATTGTTTAGAAAAAAATGGTGTGATATTCTCATGAAAAACACATTAAATTGTGATTTAAAATGCTTAAATTTACAATACAATTAGAATAACTCAGGATATTAAATATAATATTAATTTCAATATTAAATTAAGAGCTTTGCTGAAATAATTGTTCTATATTAATTAAGCTTCATTTGAAACCATTTTTTTTTTAACAATTTTAATTCAAAAAAAATTATATTAAAAAAATGTTTTATAAAATAGTAAAAAAAGCCATTTAAGACTTCATTTGGAACAACTTTTTTATCGCTTCTTGAAACAAAATTTTTGTAAAAAATTTATATCAAAACTCTATTTTTAAAAAACAATAAAAAAAATCATCCCAAACAAATCATAAAAAAAAAGCCTTAGATGTTAGATGGCCCTTGAGTATAATATGTATTTTTCTTAAATATATTTTTTTTTTCATGCCTTTTTTTCTATGAGAACAAACTATCTGTATTATTAATTTATAAGTTGGTGCAGTGTACTGATTAAATGTATTTAAAGTGCAGCATGACAATTTCGGGTTGGGTATTCATGATTTCTGTCGGCTTCAATGCTGCTGCCAGGTCAGTATCTATTGGCTCGTCCCTTTCTATAATTTCTATTATTTATGTTTGAACAGAGACCCTACAGTTGTCCTTATCATTTTGTATTTATCTTCCTCCACTATCATATCAAGGGAAAATTATTATGTTCGGTGTATGGATTCATCAGGACATCAATTCAGACGCCCCATGTCGCCCAAATACACCGGGCCTGATGTATTTGGGTGACGTGGCGCATCTGGACTGGATGTCCGGTGACCGGACGTAATAATTCATCCATATCAAGACTGTAATTTTCCCTATTATTTTTTCGCATATTAATCTAGCATAGGCATGTCATGTATATTAATTAAGGTTGTCAAAAACATATCCGATAATGAATCCGAAATATGAGAGGTTCTTTGTTCGACCGGTTTGACGGATCAAACTGGATGACATGGTAGATAGTATTATTATTAAGAATTAATATAATAAGTCCATAAGATTACAATCTAACATTTAAAAATATTCATAATTCTATGATTTCAGACTCATAATTATTAGAGTTAAACAAATAATTTAGTTCATATTTTGTACAAAGCTGAGGTGTCGGCAACTGATTGGTTATTTTCCATGTATTTATATATCGATTCTGCTCATTGCTGTAATATCTAAATGCCTATAAATACAGGCCTGTACTGGATCCGAAATGACATAGAAAATAATATTCTTTCTTTACATCGTCTTCTTCCTCAGTTTCTTGATTTGTTCTTCCTGTAACTCCTCTACATGGTATCAGATTAAGCGGTCGATCCTCCCGTTTCTCCATGGCTCATTCCGCGACTTCTACCACCGCTGAACCTCGATCTGCTTCAGCAAATGTTTCTACCGATCCGGTCATTTCCTCTAACCTGAAATTTCTCGTTTCTCATATCAAGAATGTCGTCTCTATCCAGTTATCCCCCGACAACTTTTCACTGTGGAAATCCCAGGTCCTTAAAATCTTTAAGGCAAACGGTTTTCAAAAATTTCTTGATCCCGCCATTTCCCCACCGCCCGAATTTCTGCTAAATCCCGACGGATCATCATCTCCGAACCCTCTTTTTCTGCAATGGTCTCATACCGATCAAAACCTATCCGCATCTTTATGCTCTACGATCTCTTCCACTGTTCTTCCCTATGTCCTTGCGCTTGATTCCACCGCGGCAATCTGGACTACGCTGGAGACACAATATCAGTCTACGAATCGCTCGAAGGTGATTCAGTTAAAGAACGAGCTTCATAATATTGCTCTCAAGAACTCCACAATGACTCAGTACCTAACAGAAATCAAAACTCTTGTGGACAAAATCGCGGCAGCCGGCTCTGTCGTGGATACAGAGGATATAATCCTCTATATCCTCAATGGTCTTCCTCCATCTTACCAGTCTTTCAAGACCGCTATCAGGACAATGCTCACACCAATTAATTTGGATCAGTTGTATCCTCTTCTTCTCAGCGAAGAAGTCAATATAGCCAACGATGCCGCCAAAGTTTCCAACAACTCCGATCCGAATACTGCTCTGTTTGTCCACCGCGGTCGAGGGCGGCGATCTCGTGGCCGTAACTACTCCAATACTACAAAAGAACCACGGAGTTCAGCTTCATCATCATCATTAATTTGCCAAATTTGCCTTAAGAAGGGCCATTCCGCCGCTTCTTGCTGGCATCGCGCAAACTTGCAGTACACCCCGCAGACGACTCAAACCTCAACGGCACTTCTGGCTACCAATTCCAATACCGATTCCAACTGGTACTTGGATTCCGGGGCTTCCGCTCATTTGACGAACTCCATGGACAATCTTTCTATCTCTCGACCATATCAAGGCTCAGACACCATCACGATCGGCGACGGCAGCTCCGTCAACATTGCTACCACCGGGGCGGGACTTCTCCCGACCCCGTCCCGTAAGCTGAATCTATCTCAAATTTTTTACTCTCCTGCCATCCGCTACAACCTCATTTCTATTTCTCAGCTCACAAAAGATAATGATATTACCATTACCTTTAACCCGTCTGGATTTGTTTTGAAGGATATGAAGACGCAACGGGTTCTGTTTCAAGGACCATGTAGCAATGGTCTCTACACCTTGCCATGTAAACAATCCACAGCTGAGCATACGGCGCTTCTCTCAGCTTCTACAAAGGCAGAGTCATGGCATAGGAAGTTAGGCCATCCAAATAAGCACACATTCGACTTAATTTCTAGTCGTAACCCGAGCCTCAAGATGGGCAAATTGTCTATTCCCTGTGCATCTTGTGCTATGTCAAAAAGTCATAAACTGTTTTTTGAAAATTCTACACACACTTCTACTACTTTGTTAGCTTTAATTCATTCCGATGTTTGGGGCCCTGCTCCTGTTATCTCTAATCAAGGCTTCAAATATTACGTAATTTTTGTGGACGATTTTTCTAAGTTTACCTGGTTGTTTCCACTTAAAATGAAATCTGAAGTTCTTGACATATTTATTAATTTTAAGAAACAGGTTGAGACATTTACAAACCAGAAAATCAAAACTCTTCGCACAGATGGTGGTACCGAATACATGAATCAAGCATTCTCCAACTTTCTTCGATCCCACGGTATTATTCATCAGGCTTCATGTCCCTACACACCGGAGCAAAACGGAACTGCCGAGCGTAAGCATAGGCACATTACGGAGACCATACGCACTCTCCTCCATACATCGTCAACCCCTTACAAATTTTGGCCTGACGCCGCGCTTACAGCCACTTATCTAATAAACCGGTTGCCATCACCCATCCTAAACAATGCCTCTCCATTCGAATTACTTCACAACACCAAACCCAATTACAGCTTCTTGAAAACTTTTGGCTGTGCATGCTATCCGCTCATACCCTCGCAGAATCGACATAAACTTCAACCCAGTGCTATACGGCATATATTTCTTGGATATTCCGACATGTACAAGGGTTATAAGTGTCTTGACATCGCTACCAACAAGATCACTTTCTCCCGGCATGTCTTGTTCCACGAGAACGAATTCCCTTTCTCTGCTAAACTCGGCATTCATTCTGAAATTCCCACTGATATTCCTCCTCTATTGCTTACTCCTGCATCCACAGTTACTCAAACAAAGCAGACTCAGCCTTCGCATGCTACTATTTCTGCATCAACTATCAATCGCAGCACTAGCTCTTTCCAGCAAAATTCGGGTTCCGAGACCACCAGCTCGAGTACCAGCTCTCAGCCTCCCCGTCAATCAGCTCCCCCGACTCACCCGATGACTACTCGCAGCAAAACTGGATCATTGCGTCCCTCCATTCGACTTAATCTGCTGCATAAACAAACATCGTCAATACATCACATTCCTCCCACCACGTATTCCGAAGCCGTTAAACACGCAGATTGGCGCGAAGCAATGGCTACGGAATTTTTAGCTTTACAACAGCAAGGCACATGGTCTCTCACTCCTCCTCCGGCAAATACAGCGATCTTAGGATGCAAATGGACATACAGACTAAAATTTCATTCAGATGGATCTATCGCCAAACACAAAGCCAGACTGGTCGCTCTCGGCAACCACCAAGAATACGGAATTGATTACACGGAGACTTTCAGCCCGGTCGCAAAGCTTCCCACAATCCGCATTCTATTAACTATAGCGCTCCACAATAACTGGCCAGTTCAGCAACTCGACGTAGCCAACGCATTTCTTCATGGAAATCTGAATGAAACGGTCTATATGGCGCAACCTAAAGGATTTGAGGACACTATTCATCCAAATCACGTTTGTCGTCTCCATAAGTCAATATACGGGTTAAAACAGTCTCCGCGACAATGGTACAACACGTTTACTGAGTTTCTTGTTACTCTTGGGTTTGTTCATAGCCAATCCGATCCTTCTCTTTTACTGTACAAAGCCGAACACACAACAATATTTCTCCTCGTATACGTAGATGACATTTTAATATCAGGCAATAATCAAGACGTCATCGGCTCCATTCTGTCCAGACTTCGCATCCGCTTCTCTATGAAGCATCTTGGGGAAGTAAACGATTTTCTCGGTATTAAAATCTCAAAATCCTCACAGCAGTTCTTTCTTTCACAGGAAAAATATGCCACCAAAATCCTTCAGGAAGCGGACCTACTGCAATGCAAACCGTTGGCTAATCCGACGTGCACTAAACCTCCCGAATTCGTTCCAGCCGACTCTCAGTTGCAGGACGGGTGTCTCTACCGCAAGCTAACAGGATCATTGCAATATTTAACGATCACTCGTCCTGACATTGCTTTCAGTGTCAATCAGTTATCTCAATATATGCACAATCCACAACCTCAAAACTTCTATATGCTCAAACGACTTCTACGATATATCAAAGGTACGATCAACTTCGGGATTCCTATTACAAAATCTAATCTACTCCTTACCTCATTTTCAGATGCCGACTGGGCAGGCGATCCATTATCTCGCAAATCTACATCAGGATTTTGTTCATTCTTGGGTGATACGATCATCTCATGGACGGTTAAGAAGCAAACTACGGTCGCCCGCTCTTCGACAGAATCAGAATACAGATCCCTGGCGGCTCTTACTGCGGACATTATCTGGCTTCGCCGTCTACTTCATGACTTTGGCATCGAGCAACACCTTCCCACGAAAATCTATTGCGACAACACCTCAGCAATTGCTCTGGCTAACAACCCAGTTTTTCACGCTCGCACAAAACATATTGAAATAGATCAACGTTTTGTACGGGATCATATACAACAACAAAATGTCTCTGTTTTGCCAATAAGCACTATTGATCAAGTTGCGGACATCCTTACCAAATCCCTCTCCACATCTCGTTTTCAGACTTTACGAACCAAACTGACCGTCACTCAAGACCCATCAGTTTGAAGGGGCGTATTAGAGTTAAACAAATAATTTAGTTCATATTTTGTACAAAGCTGAGGTGTCGACAACTGATTGGTTATTTTCCATGTATTTATATATCGATTCTGCTCATTGCTGTAATATCTAAATGCCTATAAATACAGGCCTGTACTGGATCCGAAATGATATAGAAAATAATATTCTTTCTTTACATCGTCTTCTTCCTCCGTTTCTTGGTTTGTTCTTCCTGTAACTGCTCTACACTTACAAAATAAAGCTTCATCTTGATCCACCATAGGCTGAAGTCATTTTCTCCAGCGAACTTGCCAATGTCAAACTTCTGCATCGACATCATTCCTCCTCTAGTTGGCTCTAGTACCAATTCTAGAGAAATTCGTCTCATAAGAACTACGGATTTCAAATTTCCTGTACATATCTTTCACTATTGCCTAAGAAATTCAAATAGATTGTTTTTTTCCCTAGTTTATCTCATCTTGAGTAGGGCTGCAAGCGAACCAAACGTTCGACGAGCTCTCGTTGTTCGGTTCGATTAAAGCTCGTTTGTGATTGTTTAATTAACTAAACAAACAAACTTGAACAATATTTTAAATACTTGATTCTTAAATAAACAAACTTGAACACTAATGTGTTCGGCTCATTAATTTATGTTCGTGAACAACATCATTTGAAGTTCGTGAATATGCTCGACATTAAGCTCGATAAGAAGCTCGATTCGTGTTCGATTTTGAACTCGTGAATAACCAGTCATATGTCCGGCTCATGATTGAACCGGTGAAACCGGCGATCCGGTCCAATTTTCGAAACCATGATGTCAAGTTAACCAGCGGTCCGGTCCAATTTTCAAAACCATGATGTTAATTTCCTAACTATACGCACATTACTCTCCCTGCTCATAAAAATACATAAATAAAACTACTGAAAAAAATATTTTCTTACACTAACCTCTTCCCAGTTGATTTTGCACCTAATTTTTTATCATTTATGATGTATTGATTCAGTAAACAAGGAAAATGATATAAATAATGCACTATATCATTAAAAGAATTAATTATACTTTGAACAAAATAACTACAGCATTTTCCAGGAAAACAAAATCTCATTATGCCTAAGTGTTATAACAGAATATCAGTTGGTCTTCCATAGTAATAATACTATGAATATGTTTTGAAAGAACTGAAGGGAATGCAAGTAGACTTCGGCATTTTCTTAAGTAAATATTAGGTAACTAAAATTATCTTGGAAACACGGGCAAATACATTTTTTCATTCGCAATTCCCTTCACAACCTTAGTGAAGAACATGAAACTATCTTGGTTCCAAGATATATGTAATGTAGTGTAACAATGATGCAGTGTTCGTGTGAGCAATGAACTTGGAGCTGGAAATCCAAACTCTGCTGCATTTTCAGTAGTGGTGGTCACAATGATTTCCTTCATTGTATCAGCTATCATTGCCATAGTTATACTTATTGGTCGAGACTATATCAGCTACATCTTCACCGAGGGCGAAACAGTGGCTAATGCCGTCTCCGATCTCACCCCCTTACTCGCCATCACCATCATCCTCAATGGTATCCAACCAGTTTTATCAGGTGAGCTTAACTATTTTCTACAACAAGATCACAAAGAGATCAGAACATTTTCTCTCATGTTTCATTTGGAATGACTTTTTTATTGCTTCTTAAAACACAATTTTAGTACTAAAACTCCTTTTTAAAAAGCAGTAAAAAGATCATTTCAAACGAAGCCTAAATGTTAATTGTCTCTCATATGTTATCTGCAGGAGTGGCTGTTGGTTGTGGATGGCAATCCTTTGTGGCCTATGTTAACGTTGGCTGCTACTACTTTGTTGGTATTCCAGCTGGTATCCTCCTCGGCTTCAACTTTGGCCTTGGCCTTGGAGCAAAGGTAAAGAAATAAGAAATTTAATAAGGAAGTAGATATTGCTTACTATATAATTTTGAAAATGGATAGCAATTCTTTTAGTTATATTCTTGTGGAGGCGAATATTACTTGTCTTCTTTCACTATGTGGTGATTATCATATTATTCATGAACTGGTGAGTGCATAAAAAGCTTTGGAGGTTATAAGAGAAGCTACTGTCTCGATGCTTAGAAATATTTCAATTTCTTACTATTACTCAAACAGAAATCATACTCAAAGATCTAACTAAACATGGACTAATAAAAAAGCTTATAGTTCTTGATTCTTCATAGTTTCATAAAAATTTCATTTTTTTTCTCTATTGTGGTTTTACACCACTGATGCTTCGAAGATGCTTATGATGCTATAATGATATGGGGGATTGGTGGAAGAATAGGACCTGCAAGTAGGAAATCCTAATCTAAGGAACAAAGACAAACACAAACCTTCAAAGAGAGTAATATTTCATCAATCATCTTCCTTTCTTACAATAGCTTGTACATATGATCATAATAGAATATTCTAGAAAGCCTACACCTCCTTAGGGGTGCTATAACTAGGATGTTCCTACATCATATAAGAGAAGTGAAGTTTATTTTTGCATCAATTGATAGATGACATATCATAAGAATTGCATGCTTACTCATCATATTCGTATGTGATCATTATTGGTTTTACATCTAAATGTTTGATATTCTTCATGAAAGGGTGTTTGTATTATTCGAATCAAACAATATAGTATTACTCTTTAATTTTCTTTAAGAAACGACTTCGTGTGATTCCTATCACCAAAAGAATGTTATCTTATAGACTTGTTCTACATTTACATAAAATAAATATATGTAAGGTAAATTTGAAATTATAAACTCCTAAAAATTTTACACAATGTGAAAGAAACAAAGACTTTAATGAAAATTTTGTTAATGGGTCATCATAAGATAAAATTTTCAACTGTTTCCATGTGAGGAAAATAAATAAGGAAACAGTGCAAAGCACAGCATATTAGATGGATGGATGCTAATGAAAAACTTTAGTTAAAGTGTAATTAAGTACAAACTAATCTGACAGAACATTTAATTAGAGGATCACAATATAATTTTGCAAGAATTTGATGCTTAATTTTTGTATTTATTTTTTGCAGGGAATATGGGCAGGAATGATTGGGGGAACATTCATGCAAACTCTAATTCTTCTTTGGGTCACTATCCGGACCAATTGGAACAAAGAGGTGCAGCTCCTTTATATCTCATTTAAAGCATTTTAATGCTATCCCGAACTTTTCTAAGCAAATTTAATGCTAACTTTCCAACTATTTGCATCACTATGTTGATTGACCAAGCACAAACATTTTGATAAGTTTTCACTATTTGTTATGTAGTAATGCAATGTAATTTTTTTAAAATAATAGGTCCAAACTGCACAACAAAGACTGGATGCATGGGATGACAAGAAGAAATCACTTCTTGCTAATAGAGATTTTATCAACTAAGTCCAAAAAGTAGCCGTGTGTTTATGAGAGTGGCTTATTTACTGAGCAGTGTTCATCTAAGGGAAGATATGGTTTGCAACTTTTATCACAAAATAAAGCATAGTTGAGGGTTTGGAATGAAGGTATCTCATTTGAAGAGAGAGAGAGAGAGAGAGAGAGAGAGAATGGGCATGTAGCTTAATGAGCTTTTAGTTGTTTTTTCTTTCTTTGTATAATTTTGCTTGTTTTGAGATTTTTTTTTCTACTGAAGCATAATGTTCTTGCTTTTTTTCCATTGAAGCATAATGTTCTTGTGGAAATTATTGCTTAGTAAGTTGTGATGTATTGTGTTGTACTAAATAAAATGATGATTTCTTTTTTCTGCTATTGATTCGTCCATGTTCATAAAATTCTAAGTGAGTTGGAAGGATTTTAGTGTAACATCTCCCTTAAGCAATAGAAAAAAAGTTAGATGTTGAAGGCATCGATGGAGGTCCCCTCACTTATGAGTTGTGGTTGTTGTAGAAGTATGATATAATTTAAATTTATGCATGCTTATATATACAACAGCAACATCAAGCATTTTTCCCACTATGTCGGGTCGGCTACATGAATCATTTTTCTATCAAATTCTCATTTAAATCTAATAAAGAAAGATCATTTCTAATATTTTCTAACCAAGTCTTTTTACATCTACCTCTACCTTTCTTAACATAAGTCAAATCTAATACCTCTAGTTTCTTAATCGGGTCATCGGGATGATGACGTTTTATGTGACCAAACCATCTAAGGTTACTCTCTAATCTAATCTTTTTATGTCATCGGGAGGCTGACGTTTTATGTGACCAAATCATCTAACTCCAACCTTTTCACGTATATACTCATTTTGTATCCAATCTCTAAGGGTTAAGCCACTCATCCATCAGAGCATCCTCATCTCTGCAACACTTTAAATTAGTATTATGCTTCTCTTTTAATGGCAAACATTCGACACCATAAAGCATTGGTGATGTAATTCCTATCGGTGATGATTGTGGTGCAAGTCTTCTTGGGGATGAATGTCATGCAATTTTTATTGAAGGATGTGACACAATGAGGTTGTAGAATAGGTTTTAATGGAGATGATGGTGCTATAAATGAGGTTGCATCATGTCTTGTTATAACAATGAGAGCATCATAGATGAGGTTGTGGTGAAAGTCTCCAAAAAGATGATTGCATTGCAAGTTGCAACTTGTGTTGTTATAGATGGCTTGTTCAAATGAGTCAGCAACATAGATCTTGGTATGATAATTGATACAATTCGAATGAGGTTGTGGTGCAAGTTGTCAAAAATAGCTATAGCGTTAGTGACATTATACGTTAAATTGCAATGCGGTGACGATCTTGTCATTGGTATTGTTGTAGCACATATTTTGGTATGGCAATAGCTATGACATAAGTGATGTTGTGATGCAAGTCTTTAGGGGCATATAGTGCAAATGAGTTTGTAATGTAGTTCTTGATGCATCGTTTTTAATGCAATTGGCTCCTAGGATAAGTGACTAAATAACTTTCAGAAGCTCAAAATTATTTCAAGGGTTACTTATAATTTTAAAAATAAATTTTTATTTTTAGTTGAAATATTTCATATAGTTATCCACAATAAATGTTGCATATCTTTTCCATGATCAATAGGTGATTGGACTGTTTTGTCCTTCAGTTGACCCAATTGACTAGTCTGAATGGGGGCAAACTCAAGCAAATGATGATGAGCTAATGTTATAGATTTCTTTGATTGTTAAGTTAATATACCATTTTGTGGTTTTACATGTGAGTCAAGCTATAGTATTCAAACATAATCAAAAGTCTTTCCATTATACTTTTTGTAAAGCAAATATTATTTATTTCATACATAGGAAGAAGATACATCTATTTAGTCAGATTTTAAGTTGATTATACTATGCAAGGTTTGAGGATTATTGCATAATTATTAATACCTCCTAAGAAATTTCACTTGATCAGCACCAACTATTTTATATTGAAAATTTTTGAAATTAAGTTTAGAATTGTCTGAACTCTAATTCAACAAATCTATAGTCGAATTCAGCGTATTAATAAAACAAAACCAACAATACAAAAAGTAATCCAATTTTATTAGAAATAAATCAAAATAAATCACTTGAGGTAAAGTTGAAAACTTCAAATCATTGATTGAAGAGTTCGACGATCTCCACATTTTGAATACTTATAATAAAATCAAGCAGCTCAACGAGACAAATTCAATAAGCCCAAGATCACTCAAATTAAGGTCATTAAGACACTTAAATGTTGAATAACTCAATATAAATTTATTGAATTTTGACTAAATTTTTTAACATACAAATCTCAAAATACTATAAATATACCTCCGATCATGAACTTCGGTTGCTTGAGGTTGGAGATTTGAAGAAATGGCATACTAAAAAGTAGCATTTTTAAGAATGTGATAGAAGAAATCTTAACTACTTTAGTTTTGTCTTCATTTATGTTAGAACATTGCGTTTAAGAGAATTAAAAAAAGCTAGCTTTGAGGTTATAGGAAATTTTTCATTATAAGGCACAAGTTGTAGAGAAGACTTACTAGTGATCTTTTGAACTGGTATTATGTTGCACAACCTATTCCAATACTAATCTGAGCCATTGTAATTTTCAAGAATTTAAGGGCTATAGCACTTTCAACTTATGCAATAATTCTTCGTTTAGGACAACTCTTTTGTTGCTTTTTAAAATAATTTTTTAATAAAAAATATTTTGAATCATAATAGAAAACTATTGTAAAAAACAGTAAAAAATTATCTTTAAAAAATTTATCGCTAGCTCAATTTTATACATCACCTATGTTTTATAAGAGTTTGCAATGCCCACTCTTTCATGAGAAATTATTTTGTACGGAGACCTGACGGCAAGAACTGTATGGATTTAGGGGCTGTTTGGTTTACAGTATTAATAGGGTAAAGTAATGTAATTACCTGTATTTCTTTATTACAATTTTACTATCATTTTCAAATACTCAACAAAATGACAGCAAATATATAATTATAAATGCACTTTTGTCGAGTATTTACAGCGCTTTTATAAAAGTACAACATAAGACAACTAAAACGTAGCAAATATCCTACTAATTGAATATTTACTAAGTTTTTATTGTCCTTTTGTAAAAGCGCAAATCAGAGCTAGCTTTGGAAGCCTAAAGCGTCAGATTTTGAATAAGGATAACAGAAAAGATCAGTATTCTCTTATTTGACCAAATGGTGATATATGGTGAGATTAGACAGTGATAAGATAAGATATGGAGTTCTTGAATCACGCACGGAGCTATACTGCACCAAGATCCTTGCAATATCTATAAATTTCAATTTCCTACAACCAAATAACCCCTTGGTGAATTCAAAAATATCAAACATTTTTACCAAGAAAAATAAAAATTCTTTCTTGGATCTCAAGAAAGATTACAAGACAAAACTTACATGATACACTTTAAATAGCTTTGCATAGCAACTGATATGAGCCCAAATAGAGAAAAGAATATGGGGTACAAACAAGGCCAAACTCATCTATGAATTGTGCATAGAACTCAAAAGCTTTAAAGCCAATGCTTCTTGCTCCGCTAAGGAAATCACATCTGCATCAAAACCCTTCGTCTTCTTCATCTTCCTGTCATCATCACTCTCACTCTCAAAATTTATCTTTGAATTCTTCATCTTACTCTTTCTGCCCAAGTCTGTTTCCGAGTCGTCTCCATTAATATCCTCATCACCTTCTTCTTCTTCCCTCCATCTCTTTAGCTTCATCTTATCTTTAGTTCTTTTATCTCGAAGCTGAATTTCAGCGTCGATGTGCTGATTTTGAAAGGGGAAGAGGGGAATATGACGACGGATTCGGATACCATCGTCGGAGGGAGGATCGGGACACTTGGGGAGCACTTCCTCTTCGAGGAATGGGAGGTTATGGAGAGTACCGGGGTAACTGAAGGAATCCGAAGGTGAGGAAGTTGAAGATGCCCATCTTTGAGGGTAAAGATGGCCTTGGTTGGATATACAAGGTGGAGCGTTACTTTGCAGTCAACGAGTTGACAGATGATGAGAAGCTGACGGCGGCAGGATTAAGTCTGGAAGGGAAGGCGTTGGCATGGTATCAGTGGCGTGACAGGAGGGAGCCCATCCAGAACTGGAGAGAGTTCAAGGTTTGCTTATTAGAGCGTTTCCAATCCGACGGGGGAGGAGACTTCTATGAGCAATTCTTTGCCTTGACTCAAGAAGGGACTGTGGCAGATTATCGGGATCGATTTTAGTACTTGGCTAGCATATTGGATCACATTTCAGAGTCAGCCTTAGAAGGAAACTTCATCAAGGGGCTTAAACCAGAGATCTGAACAGCAGTCAGGGTACTGGAGCCGAGGAACCTGGGAAAGGCTATGGAGCTTGCGCAGTTGGTAGAAGATCAGAATAAAGAAGAAAGAGGGGCTCGAGGAAACTGTGCAGGAGGCTCTTATAGGACGACGACCACGCTTCTAGCACCTAAGGGGTTTGCATCAGGCAACAGTAATGAGACCACCCGGGAGAAGCCAGTAGGAGGAGGGAGTGGGTGGGGAAAATTTCAAAAGGCTGACAGAGAAGGAGATGCATGATAAGAGGACAAAGGGGTTGTGCTTCAGATGTGATGAGAAGTACATGCCATGGCATAGGTGCAAGGACCGAACTCTTCAGGTTCTCCTTGTCTATGAAGACGAGGAAGACAAGGAGGGAGGTGGGAGCAGATTTGGAAAGGAGGAGGAGAAGTTGCATATGGATGTAGCAGAAGTCTCTCTGAACTCTGTAGTGGGATTCACTCCGAGTCACACTATGAAAGTGAAAGGAGAGATAGCTGATCGTGAGGTGGTGGTGCTAATTGATAGTGGGGCTACCCACAATTTCATTTCCACTCAGGTTGTTGACCAATTGGGAGTGAAGTTGGTGGACACTGGTTTCTATGGAGTGATGATGGGAACAAGAAAGGTGGAGAAAGGCCATGGGATTTGTAAAGGAGTGGTGTTGACCATCCAAGGGATTCAAGTAAGGGATGACTTTCTCCCATTGGAGCTAGGAAGCACCGATGTCATCCTAGGGATGAAGTGGTTGCAAACCTTGGGGGAAACCAAAAACAATTGGGGAGCACTCATGATGGAATTAATGGTGGATGGGAGAAGGGTGATCATAGGGGGAGATGCAGGGCTATCCAAAGCCATCACATCACTTAAGACCATGGTTATGGACGTACAAGAGGTGGGGAAAGACTATCTGGTGGGACTACAAAGGCTAGATGCGATCAGATTGGAAGAGGGAGGAGATGTTTCTCTTTCCGTGTAGCCCTTGGTTATGCAATACAGTAAGAATTTTCAGTCGTCTCAAGGATGGCCACCTCCACCGGAACACGAGCATATCTCCACCTTGAGGACAAGGTGGATTTTCGGGAGGGGAGTATTGTTAGACCGGTCCAGCCGGTCCTCACGGGACCGGCCGAGTCGCGAAACAGGCGATTTGTTTCGCCTGGCGGAAGCCGCGCGAGACGCGCGCCTTGCGGGATGATTTCAGGGAGGAATTTTGAGGGAGTTTAGGAGGGAAATTGATTGTAGGGACTGTTTAGGGAATTTCTTTTGAATTGTATGCATTAAATAGTAGATTTTCCTAGGGTTTGAGCATCTGGAATTTGGCTGAAATTTGAGATCTCATAGAGTTAGGTTTTCTTTGGTCTCTAGCGGCGTCTAGAGATTTGGGAGAGTTTGATCCTCCTCTCGAATTGAGTATCAATTGTATCTTTTCCATTCTGTTGCATCTATTAGTAAAATACAAGTCTTTTCTCCACGGTTTTCTCTCCGATTTGCTATTTTTCCACTGTTTTGTGGTTGATTTCTGCTGTGGACAGTGCTAAAACTGTAGCAGTTTACTGATTTTGGCTAGGAACACTTGTGAATACAAGTGTTTCCTATCAAACTATAGTAGATAGCAACACCTACTGGTCAAAGCAGGAGATTAGTTAATGCACTACCATCTATCCCGAAGCCTTTGAAGATTCAAGCCTCTTGTGATCAGATTCAAGTTCACTTGTCTCCTATTGTTCATCTGATTTGCACTAAAACTTGCACTTGAGCTTCATTTCATTCAAATGCTTCAGGAGACTTGAACTTCTACTCAAACTCGAACTAGAACTCAAACTCAAATGATTTCTAATGAACATTTCAACCATGCCCACAAGCAAATGAATGTAATCATAACGAATGGCGAGAGCACCCACTGTGTCATATACAGAACTTGCACTTAAAGCGGATGGTGGGGGAATGGACGATAGACCCGATCAAGATCTCATGGTTCCGTCATCCCGGACCATCATGGTCCCTAGTCTACTTAGTCAGAGGAGGTAGTCAACCTAACATGATAGAAGGATCATTGTCAGCAGCCATGAGTTGCTTCGTCCAAGGGGACCTTGTAGACCTGGGTTGGATATTTGCCTAAGGGGACAAATTTGAATCCACCTTAGCTAACAGAGGACTTGATGTCCTGTCGATCATATCCTATTGATTCATATCTCAAGGATTTGATGCTAATAAGGAGCGTATTGGCTCTGGCCATAACTGGTATTTCGTGGTGCCATTTGGTGGCAAAACCACTCAATTCAGAGGGCCTGGGTCATAACCGTTTATCTTGCGGTGTCATTTGGCAACAAAAACCGCCGGTTAGAGGACACGTACCACGTCCTTGCTGGCAAGAGATTGTTTGAGAATGGATCATAGTAATATTTTCGACTAGGCATTTGGCTCTTTGTGAGCTGAAGTAAGTTTTAATTTGTCCACCTCGGCAAACTGTTGCAGATGGTGGAAGAAGTTTGCTTTAAGTGTTGATGGATTTCAATTTTAAATATATGAATTTTGGGATTTTCTTGAGTTTTGGATTTTCATGGGTATTTGGATGGAATTTTGAGTATTTGGAATGGACCCCTCCGGTTGAGATTTATTGTTCATCACGGCCATCATCGGGATGTTTGGGATCATTTGTCTTTTGTTGATTGAACCTTGTCAACTCTATCGAATGATCAATAGAGGATCAGATTTCATATGCTTTATGACCTTATTAGTTAATTCATATTATTATAGACCTTGAATGCCTAGTATGAATGTAGTAAAATAAATATATCAGTCTTCATCACCGTATAAGGGAACTATAGTAGATAGCAATACCTACTAGTTAAAGCAGAAGATTAGTTAGTGCACTACCATCTACCTGCGCAAATCATACAAGTAGTGCATGACAGTCTACCAGTAGAAAGCAACAAACAACTAATCCAGAAGCTGCTGCGTCACGCCACCGGATTCACAACTTCTATTCAAGCGAGCATAAGTCGTCTACAACAGCAAATATGTAATTATAAATGTACTTTTGTCAAGTATTTACTGCGCTTTTACAAAAGGACAACAAAAGACGCAACTAAAGCGTAGCAAATATCCTACTAATTGAATATTTACTAAGTTTTTATTATCCTTTTGTAAAAGCGCAGAAAATACTCAGCAAAAGTGCATTTATAATTACATATTTACAGCCCTTTGCTAAGTATTTACAAAAGCGCCAATCAAAGAGTAGCAAAAATACAGTAAATTCGCACGGTTCTCACCTCTCTCAGAGCTAGCTTTGGAAGCCTAAAGTGCTCAGATTTTGAATAAGAATAACAGAAAATATCCGTACTAATGCACCCTAAAAAAGCTTCTAAAACAAAAATTGATACAGTATTCTCTTAATATGGTGAGATTAGACAGTGATAAGATAAGATATGGAGTTCTTGAATCACGCACGGAGCTATACTGCACCAAGATCCTTGCAATATCTATAAATTTCAAATTTCTACAACCAAATAACCCCTTGGTGAATTCAAAAATATCAAACATTTTTACCAAGAAAAATAAAAATTCTTTCTTGGATCTCAAGAAAGATTACAAGACAACTTACATGATACACTTTAAATAGCTTTGCATAGCAACTGATATGAGCCCAAATATAGAAAAGAATATGGGGTACAAACAAGGCCAAACTCATCTATGAATTGTGCATAGAACTCAAAAGCTTTAAAGCCAATGCTTCTTGCTCCGCTAAGGAAATCACATCTGCATCAAAACCCTTCATCTTCTTCATCTTCCTGTCATCATCACTCTCACTCTCAAAATTTATCTTTGAGTTCTTCATCTTACTCTTTCTGCCCAAGTCTGTTTCCGAGTCGTCTCCATTAATATCCTCATCATCTTCTTCTTCTTCCCTCCATCTCTTTAGCTTCATCTTATCTTTAGTTCTTTTATCTCGAAGCCTTTGCCGTAGGAGAACTTTGTCTTCCTTGTCATGCTGCTTCATCTCTTCTCTCAATTTCTCGTATCTTTCCTTAACTGCATAAGATTAAAATGGAATCAGGCTTACATGCTTTGAAAGAAACATGTAGATATTTAAGATGTCTAAGGCCTCGGTTGTTTTGGGTTTTTTTTTTCTTTTCTGTTTAGAACTGACGAAATTATTTTTTGGTTGCTATTTGGATGGCACGCTTATATAGAAATGATTTTTAGGGAACTTCATTTTTCTACACTTTTGAGAAGCTTTGATATTTGCTTCTCCATTAGAAAACACCATTCCCTTGCCCATTATTTCTAAAACTATCTTTTACAAAAAGAGAGGAAGAATCAAACAAAGCCTAAATAGCAGGATGGTATTAGACCTTTTTCTGGTTCAAGAATGGTGTCGGCGCCCTCTGTGATGGCGAAGGCAGCAAGTGGAGCTACTTGATTGCCATCATCATCATACTTCACTCTAGTTCCTACAGGTCTGTGGACATTTATCTTCAGTTTCTTCTTTTTCAATATCCTGGTGGGTAAGCTGAAAATAATGCACAAAAAAATTAATATCATAACTCTGAAAAGTCTAACATTTTAAATACAGAGTATTGCTATACCCCCCCAAACAAATTACATAAAAAATAATTAAAAAAAAAAATCATACCGAATCCACCATTCAGGTGGCCCAATTAAAATATAGATGGATTATCGTGCTCTTTTGCTTGGAGAAAGTTTTTATGAAAACATACATAGTAAGTTCACTTTTATCAAGCTCCACAGATGACTTCGTTGGCACCAGAATGTCATCATCTTCTTCTTCTTCCTCAGCTCTGTTACTCTTGGCCTTCCCTTGCATCATCTTTACAACTAGTTTCTGGATTCGACCATCTTCGACATCAACTCTGAATCCATCAACATTATAAAGAACTTCGCCCTCAACTTCCACTTTATGTTCTTGTTCAACCACTGTTTCTTTTTTATTCTTCATTTTTTGGCTTTTGGAGCTAACATTTGGTTTCATAGGGAGGCCGAGAGATGCAGAATATTCTTCCAAAGGTAATTTGGATACATCAAAAACTTCCTTATCCTTCTGATGGTTTATGGACCTCACATAAGTGATGAAAGCTCTTTTAGCAAGCTGCTGCATTTCCGGATACTTAACCAACACTGATGCCAACGACCCAGAAATTTGTTCCATTTTTTCTGATTTTACCTGAAGTCGGTGGTGATCAGCTAGCAGAAAGCTAAAAAGAGTTAGGCTTCATTTGAGATGACTTTCTTCTTGCTTTCTAAAACAGCTTTCTAGTATAAAAATTTCTTGAATATGAATTTTTTTACTAAAAAGCCGTTTTAAAAAGCAATACGAAAGCTATACGAAAGCTGTCTCAAACGAAGCATAAATATGATATTGATGGCAAAAACAATCTTATCACAGCAACAGAAAATATCCCACCATATACCTCAAGTATTCGAACTTCATAAGATGGAAAGAGGTGGTAATCATGCAAGATTAACAATATCAAACTTAAAAAGCATCTACAGTTTAATGTAATCTAATATAATAACTACAAATAGAGAGTGAAAAAATTTAACCTTTCTTAGCTGTATCGGTATTTTAGGCTCCGCTGACTGTAATTTTGTTAGCATTTCCCTTTCTGATGGCAAAAGGAACAATACTGAATTCCCTTCAGAAGTAAAACGCGCAGTTCGGCCAACTCTGTGAATGTAAGCTGCAACATCTTCAGGGCAATCAACCTACATCGTCGGGACAAATGATGGTATATTCTTTTGCATAAATGTGTTATAAAAAAATTTGGATAACTAAGGCTTCGTTTGGGATGGCTTTATTACTGCTTCTTAAAGCATTTTTCTAGTAGAAAAAATTTTAATTTTTTAACTAAAAATCTGCTTTAAGAACCAATAAGAAAGCCGTCCCAAATGAAGCCTAACTCTCACCTGAATCACCCAGTCAACAGCTGGAAAGTCAAGTCCTCTAGATGCCACATCAGTTGAAAATAGCACTGAAGTGGTCTCACAAAAATCCAAGTATATTGCCATCCTTGCATTTTGCTTCATATTCCCATGGAGGCATTTCAAAGGAATACCAGGGCGCAGTTTCTTGAATGCCTCATAGACAAATTTAACCTACTAGGATGTGCAGCCATTCCATACATTTAGAGAGGATGGGGAGGAAAAGGCAAAGAATGCTGTAAAGCAATAAACAAAAATTCTGATACAAGAGTTGGCTATTCACTGATGTCAAAAGAATAGCCTAAACTCATAAAAACACTCAAGAGAACAAAAACATTTAAGTTCAAGATCTTCTCAACAATGGACTGTGATAGGAAATACTCGAGTTCGCAAGTAACCCTAAGGTAAAACTTGAGTTCGAAAGCAATCCTAACCAAAAGTGAAGAACCAACAGCAGATTTACTGCTGTTTACAGCAGAAAAACAGCAAAACTCAGGAGAAAACTGAGAGATACGGATGGAAATCTGAAGCAAATGCAAGCAATTAACTTGTATTTCACTAGAATATGAATAAAACAGCAAACGATACAATAATCTTCAATTCTAGAGGAAGATTAACTCTCCAAAATCTCTAGTCAAGAAAGACTAGAGCCCATGCCTCCAAGAAGATCCCAAATTCTTCCCAAATTCAAGATGAAATCCTAAATTACACATTAACTCCTAATTAAAGACAAAGGAAAATTACAAATTCCCTAAACAGCCCCTAATTCAAAATTTTCCCTCCCAAAACTGGATTTAACCCAAGTTGAGGCCCACAGGGCTTCCGCCCCCTGCCTAGTTCCACCTGGAATAGAATCGGACCGGTCCAGCCGGCCCCTCCTGGGCCGGCCTAACAGACTTCCAGATAGAATATTTGTTTGAACATCATAACTGATAAGGAAAGCTTCAAAACCTTAACTTGGTTGTGTGGAAAGGACTATCAATCAACCTAATTCAAATGGGGCAGAGTGGACAGAAGCTGCAGATAGTGATTTGCTGGCTCGAGCAAACTCTAGAAATGACTAATAAATTAAAATTAGCCTAGCAATGCTCAAAAGATCTCACCTAGCTTGTTGAAAGTTTCCATACTAATGCATTCCCTCCTTCAGAGAAGAAGTGGAATCGCAGGGGCACTAAGCAAACTAAAAGCAATCGATAAGCAAATCCAATAAAAGATAAGCACCCACTTGGTATGCCCAAAACAAGCAAATATAGTGGCGAGGCACCCACAAATGATAAAAGACGCTAAGTTAGATGTCAGCAACCACCCAAAGCAGACAAACGGCTGAAGAGGAGCATCAACTCTAAACCAGCGGCCAGAAGGACTTCCATGCAACCTAACTCAATGGGCCCGCATGTTAGAATGGTCCTACAAGGAAACACTATATATACTCCTTGGAGTTCATTTAGGCTTTCGTTTGGGATGGTTTTCTTACCGTTTCTTAAAGTAGCTTTCTACTACAAAGATTTTAATTTTTATATCACAAAGCTGCTTTAAGAAGTAGTAAAAAAGCTATCCCAACGAAGTCTTAATCTAGCAAAGATGGAAGCTGTGGATTGGGAAAGAATTTTCTGAAGAATTTTTCAATGGGTCGCCCAAAGTGTTTAAGAAGCTGCATGTAAGATCCTAATATTTCTAATTAATAAGTTCTAGTTAAAGGTATAAGGCACGGATATCCTACAAAAAAGAATTAAAAAATGTATGAATGCACAAGGGAGAAATTCTATCATTCATTATATAAACAATTACCTGTTTGCAGGTTGAAAGGAACACAATCATCTTTGAACGAAGATGTGATTTTATAAAACTCCATAACATATTTAATTTTTGATCAAGAGGAACCTCCATTGCTACTTGTTTCAAGCGTTCAGGCGTTGCTGTTACGGATTCAGCATGCACACTGATGTACTCTGGATCTTTCAAACTAAGCCTTGCAAGGTCTTTAACAGACTTAGTTTGAGTGGCAGAGAAGAGTAAGGTTTGTCTCCTTTTAGGGAGTTGAGAGATAATTGCATCTAATTCTCCTTTGAACTTTTTATCAAGCATCCTATCAGCTTCATCCAAAACTAAAACCTGTATCCTGACCAGGAAACGAAATATTGAGTAAAAATTTGTTCCAATTACAAGGTATATATTTTTGTTAAAGAAAAGATTGATTTAGTGACCTGAAGTTGTGAACACTCAAAATTTGGGGTCTCATTCATGTGCTGAAGGAGCCGGCCAGGTGTACATATCAAGATGTTAAGAGAACTAACACGATCCTTCTCGGCATCGACATCTTTACGCCCACCAATTAGAAGACCTGCACTGAGAGTATGATTTTTTCCTATTACTTTCAATTCTTCAAAAAGTTGCCCTGCCAATTCCTTCGTAGGGGATATTATAATGCTTCCAACACCATCCTCAGGACCCCATCTTGCTCTGTATAATTTTTCTACAACCTGGGAAAAAAGTCATTTTTTGGATTATTTTGGGGAAATTTTAAGAAAAGAAAAAGCTATATAATTTCAAGCACTCTTAATAAACTACAGTACTGCAATGTGCTGGAAAATATAAAATGACAGGAACTTCTAACATAAATTTTAGTACGGCATATTAGAGGAAAACTCCAAAGAAAAATGGAAGAATTTTTAAGGAAATGCCACCAATCACATATATTTCCCATTAACTCTGCAATTCTAAGGAATGTGACAGGGTATGAAACTCATTCAACATGCCCATACAAGGAACTGGGAGGGAAAATTGCAGAAAACAATAATTAGTTTTACAATATAACCATATATCAGGGATAAGATGTAAATGTCAAAGTTTATGCTTATCTAAAATACAACATATGTGATAAGCGGAGTGGATTGATAATTTAAGCATTGATTTTAATTTAATTTATTTTATTGTCTTAGTTTTCTTACTTCTATTTTGGTTCATCGAAATTCGAAACCATGCCTAAGGTGATTCAATATGAGACTGTGTTGTATTATCTTTCTCTAATTTAGTTTTATGGTCAAGCTGATTATTCATTGTGTTGATTTGGATTTAATCTGGTTCAGTTCACAATTAATTCACTGCTAGTTCTCCAGTTTACTAGTTGGTTCTTTGTGGTTGTTTTATTGTTAACTGAAGACCGGGATCCTTCAATTCGCTACTTGTGATTGACTGAGTTCATTGATTGCATGTTTTACAGATGAGTTTTTTTGGAAAATAGATGGCTATCGTGGCAGAGATGAGCATGCTCAGGTGGATGAGTAGCTTTACCCTTAGAGACAAGATACAAAATGAGAATATACATGAAAAGGTTGGAGTAGCTTCGATGGTGGATAAGATTAGAAAGAGTCGCCTTAGATGGTTTGGCACATAAAACGGTGGCCTTCCGATGAACCGGTTAGGCAAGTAGAGGTATTAGATTTAACTTATGTTAAGAAAATGAGAGAGACCAAAAAAGACTTGGTTAGAAAATATTAGAAATAATCTTTCTCTATTAGATTTAAACGAGAGTTTGACTTTTAATAGGACACAATGGAGAAAAAGGTTTCATGTTGCCGACCCCACATAGTGGAACAAAGCTTGATGTTGATGTTGACGTTGGCATGGCTACCGTGGCCTGCATTCAATCAGGATTACTGATTAGGTTCTTGCAACAGGAATGCATGAATTGTGCTTTCTGCCTCCCTAGCCAGGTAGAGAAGAATTGTGGTCATTTGGGTTTGAAAAAGGAATGACTAACTTGGTTTACCAGAGGATTGCTTGCAAGTGATGCACATGCCAATAAATGAGAGCAGAGAAGCAAAAACCATGATACAAAGATGGGATTTATACTAGTTTGGTGAGTAGCACCTATGTACACCATGGCAAGGAGAGATTTTCCACTATTTATCAAATGGTTGCATATAGAGTTCAAAGGGGATCCCTTCAGGTTGAGTAGATTTTTAGGGGAGATTTACTCAGGGTCCTCTCTGAACACTTGCCGAGAGGATTTTCTACCCTACCAGTGCGTCTATCCTGAACTTCAAAGTCTTATCCTTCTACTTGAGCCCCTCAAGCTCCTAAATATTTGTTTTCTTTGCCCTACTAATTTTAACTTGTTACTGATGAGGACATCCATGACTTTTAACCGGACATAATGACGAAAAAGGATTCATGTAGCCGACCCCACATAGCGGGACAAAGGCTTGATGATGTTGTTGTTGTTGTACTGATGAGGACATCCGATCATGGAAAGTCTACCAGAGATGGGGCCGATGATCTATGGCCACGATCGCACCGATCTACTTTTGATTATCATTGTATTAGATGTATTATTTTTAATATGTTTTATGGGTTTTATTGTATTTCTCTATTTATGCCCTCACTTAAGGGCCTAGTCATATGTATGCCCTAAGGGCAATTGAGTATTTTATATTTTCTTTATTTTATTGGCCATTTAAAACCTCCTCCCCCTTCTTTGAGGAGCTAATGAATGATTAAATGAAAATTTTTGCACTTGTGTGTTTTGGGAGAGCTTGAGAGTGCTTGAGGATTGAAGTCCCTAGGTGAGAGCATTGCAATACCCATCAACCGCAGAAAGCATCCGGGTTCGTGGCATTCCTTCTCCTCCAATCCTTCCCCTCCCTTTCCCCTAAACCTCCGGCCATAACCCCTCCTCCCCCTCTCGGCCGAACCTCACCACCACTTCAAACCCTAGGCCGACCAACCCCCATCTCCACCCTACAAGCCACCGGCCCCTCCCCATCTTCCCCTCCAAAACCGTCAACAAACATCAACCCTAAACACTCCTCTTAGCAGCCGGCCCCCACATCAAACCTAAACCATAACCCTATTCCCCACATAGCCACCGGCCACCTCCCTCTTCCATTGATTCCACAAATTCCCTCTAACATTCAATGTCCTTCCTATTTTAGCCTTCTTAATTTGGTAACAAATTTGAATTTGAATTTATTTCCTAAATAAGAATCACTACTTCATGAAAGTTACTTAAATTAGATCCAATTAAAGTTTTAATTGGATTTGATTTAAATTAACTATTCATAATTTAAAATCTCAATTAAAGCAAGCCTTAATTCATCTTCCCTAAACCCTACCCCACTCACCAAGCCGCCGGCCCCTCTCCCTATCTCTCCCTCTCCCCACATCAAGTCCCTTCCTTCCAAATACCTCAATCAATTCTCTCATTAAGGAGTACCTTTCTTTCTTTCCTCTTGTTTGACATTATAATTACAAAACCCCAAATCCCTCCAAACCAAAAATTTGAAATTATTTTCAGATTTTGGAAAATTCCTTTCCCCTCCCCCATTAACCGCCGGCCCTTCTCCACCTCCTCCTTCCCTTCCTCTCTCCCAAAACAACTCCTAAACCCCATTTCTAGGTTTCCAAGTTGTCCAGATTTTCCGGACATTGTTTGGCGGCTGTCTAGAAAATTTCTGCAGTTCTCCTTGCAGTCCTACCGGCCAGGAGATTGTTGTTTCCTGTCCGGAAGTTCCAACACACCAAAATCCATTGTTCCCTCATGTATGGCGGATCCAGAACGTGACCACGGGTTCGTCTACAACAAACAAGGGCAAGTGGACATACTCAATTCTCCGTTCTTTGACGACGACGTAACCTGGAGGTCGATCAAACTGTAGAGGAATACGTAGAAAGGATCGTCTTCACCCTCATCGTTGCCATCGACGAGCAACTTGCTTCCTTCCAATGGCAGATTATTTCCAAGTATTGAGCAAGGTGAATCTCTCCCACAAAATCTTTTTTTTTTCCCTTTCTAAGTCCTACCTTAACTTGTGGTTTCAATTGATTCATAAAGGTTATGTTAATCCCTTCCGCTAAGCCTAGTATTTTAGAGATTGAGTGAGTGGATCTATTTTCTTAGTGACTAGTCTCGTTATTAACTTAGGGATTTATCATTGAAGGCCATCCATGTATGCTATGCTTGAGTAATTGAATATTTTATGATATTAACTTCTAGTTGTGTAACTTGGCCTAAGATAATTCATTCATTTCTTGTTTTATTTCGTCGTTTGAAATCACTATAAGTATTTTAATTAATATTGCTCTATAACTTAAAATGTGCAAAATCCATAATTAACATCGCCTAATCATTTTATTCATGCATCAGTTACTCTCTCAACCTCACTCTTTGTCCATCCTTTTTCATTCCCAAAGGGGTTTTATAAATGCTAAAAGAGCTTTAGCTGGTGTTGGGGAGGGCAGGCTCAATCTTATGCAACAATAACAAGAATTTGTATGATAGATAAGTAGCGTATAAGAGATTATATGTGCATGATATAATGCTTCTAAAGGGTAGAGACATCAGTGTCAGCTGTAAATAGCAAAAGCACACCGAACAATTAACAATTTCATAATTGCCTAAGAAATAGTTAAATCCAAGAAAAGTCCTAGTCAAACTTTGTGGATCATTTGATAGGGTCTAGGTTGGACAGTCGAGAAAATTTTTGGATTGATAGAAGCATTTAGCTCCAAGAAGATGATTGATTTACAATAAAGAAAAGTGTTCAGCCATTGGGAAGAATTCATGGCAGCTTAAGTAAACATTCTAAATTCTTTGTTTTTTCCTTTTTTTTAGGTGATTCTATCTGCATATTGAGGTTGACCATACCGAAACTAGTTATCAATTTACCTCTTTTTGAATGGCCTGTAAGTGTTCCCAAAAGAAAAGAAAAAAAAACATTGATTCTATTTTGTACTTGAGCTTCGAGTCGAAAGTTAAAGATTTTGGTAATCACAATGAATGTATGTAGGTGGGTAGCTAAAAGACTGTTGATGTTGGTTGGCCTTATTAGGTCATGTTAGTCTCCTCTACTTCCTTTCCACTATCCTTAGAGTCCTCCTCACTTAGAGTTAACTCTACAAATGCACTGATGATGTGTGAGCCGAGACAGCTCCCATCTGAGAGAACTCGAGTAAATTGAAGCGTAAACAAACTGATTTTGGATAGGCACTTAGAGATTGTGCAAAACATTTTAAAAGACTGAGCTGACTTGAGGTCGAGTGGACAAAATATGATGTCAAATGAGCCAAGTACCATGTCCGAAAGGGCTGACATGAATTCAAGCAACATGGGCATATCGAAGTTTATTCCTCATAAATTTCCTAGCAGTATAATGAATTTTTTAGGACATATTATCAATCTTCAGCAAAGAATCGTTAATATAATTATTCATGGGTAGTCCAAATAGAAGTGGCATATGGTTGAGCAATTTTAAATACATAGACAATACTTTAGAGTGACAACGTCAACCTAAGCCATTTATCGCACAATTACTATTTTCTAAGAAGAAAATAGTAACAAGTAAGTAAAGATGAGTGTTTCCAATCAAAACATCAAGCCTCATCACCACTCTGCATTGTTTTATTGCACTACTCTAATAAGTGCTTGATTATGGTGGCCACAAGAGACTGGCAGTAGTCGCAGGTAGCAAGGGTCTATCATGAAAAGATGAATCTCGTAGTTCATTTTGTACTCAAGAAAATAATGCCATGATTAAAGACAAAATGTTCATACATCTTTTTTGGTCGAGCCATGTCATTGTGTATGAGTTCAAAAAATATTTTCTGATTGAATAGTTAAACCCACTAAGCAAATAACAAATTTAGGTTAACTATAATATTCTTTAGGATTAAAATAAGTATCCACAACGCTAACAAGCTTGTTCATTTCAAATCTTACCAATTAATTATTTTTGGCAAATAGTACTAGATCTCCTATTCTCCTGTATCAACTCCATTATACATTAGTTCATAAAAGCTACATGAAACTTCAGTCTTAATTGAAATTCAACAAAATATATAAGACCCCAATAAGCTTTAAAAGTTAAAGATCTATTACTTAGTTTATAAAAAAATTTCAATCAACAATAATGGCCAACAGCTCATCTCAAGCAACAATAGGAGCTGATAAGTTTAAAATGCAATGCATGGACTATCACTGAGCAGTTAGGCAACATGCATTAAAAAATTTTGCAATTGCAAAATGCAGCCAAAGGTAATCATTTTGGAGAATTCGTCAATTAAACCTCCTCCACAATTTAATTATTCAATCTCCAACACACTTCTAGAATTGATGAGCAACAAAATTAGATATTTTGCTTCCTAGAAAGTTAAAATATTAACAAGCATGACATCAAGATAATTTTTTTAAACATACATGGGAATTGATTTTTCTTCTATAATCGTATTAAACAAGCATTCTAAAAGAACAATTTCAATCTATCAAGAATTGTCATTTGTTGTTTGCTTTTGGATTTGAAAAAATTCAAAAAGCTCACAAGTTATATCTAAAATCTTCAATCTCAACCATCCATAATCTCAAATCATCATGCAAAAACAATGTCATGACTTAGACATTGCTTTTAAATTATCATCTTTGCAGCAACTCTGATCCCTTTTCATGGATTCAAACACTTGTAAAATTCCATCCTCCAGGTCATTTCCCAACCTCTTCAGAACATAAGCAATGCTCTCTATTGTAGACAGATGCAAATGCCTAGGTTGATGCCTCACTTCATCATGCAAGCTCTCCATCCCCTGATCCAACTTCACTTGTGGCAAAAGCTTCAACCAAGGATTCTCATAGCGCTTGTCCTCACCTTCGCCCATGACCATCCAACAAAATCAAATGCTACACTTCACAATCTTCCTCTACGGGCACAATATAATTTGAGCTTTGAGAAGATGAGCACAAATCCTAGAGGAATAACAAGATTAAACTTTTCAAAGTCCTAAATTTCAGAGTCTTGTAATAACTCTATCAGTAACTCCATCATAAATAGCAGTTCTCCTGACTCGATAGTATACAATTTAGCTGATATTAGGCTTCGCATCTTTCTATTCCAACCACGATATGTTCAAAAAAGTAGGTAATAGCATGCTTAGAAAAGCTACTTGTAATATAATCATCTACAGTTATGTCACCGATCTAATCATAATTGTTAGAAACACATGAGTTTGTGAAATATTATGTTTACCTCCGCTTCTAGCATCTCCGAGCTGAAACCTTATTGATTCAAATTGAGACCGTGCAACAATAAAATTGACTGAAGTTGATGCTTCTGAAATAATACAAATGGCAATGTGCCGACAAAAAATTCAATCATTCCTCAAAAAGAAGCACCTCATAGCAATTGCCAACAATCTAATAACAAGCATGATCTCAATGCAACTCCAAATGGAGAATGAGGGAGCTTCGAAATTAAAATTAGGGAAGAAAACCGTAGATAGATTCTTGAGGTTGCAGCTCCATAGGAATTCAGAAAGTACCATCTTGAGTTTGCATTGAAGCATGGTGACAACAATAAGAGGTTTGTTTCCAACTGCTAAAAGCAATCATTGCTTTGTTGAGGCCACACAAGTAATGTGTAGGCCAGTTGGTCCACTTCCCCAAAGATGGTTCTACCTATGGCTCTAAGCTTCATTAGAAATAAAAATGATTACATAAAAAAATACCCTCTATGATCTAGAAAATGATCTTGTATTGAGCCAAGGCTTACTCTGATGCAAAAAGTGCTTGGAAGTTGGAAGGAAAATTTGAAATTGTTAGATGAAGTTAGTTAGGGCCTGTGGTGGATATGTAATTGACTAATCATTATAGTTTATCTTAATGTAGACCATGAAAAAGAATAAGAGATAAAACCACAAATTTTCATGAATTTTTTTAGGTGCTTAAGTCATTCATAAAGCATGCCAATATAACAATCTAATAGATGGTTGAGATAAGGAAATAATTGATTAATTTTTTGATGTATGAACATGCAAATCAAGTGATATTTTTACAATGAATAGTGTGATATTTAGTGTTTACAAAAAATTTATTTGATTCAATAGAAAAACATATAAATTAAAGTAGTATTTTTTTAGTGAGTCATTAAAAGCCCCGCATTTATAAAAAAAGGTTGATCCGCTGTCAAAGATTCATAAAAATAATAAACCAATAACACCAAATTTTTCATAGGTAGCAGAACAACATCAATGTTCTTAATCATAAATTTAATGCTAATCAGTTCAAAAAAAAATGTGTTAATTGTATGGAGAATGACGCTTTTCCAAAATAAAAGGAGTCCACCCCAATAACAAAAAAGGGTTGTTTTAACTTCTATTCTACCAAATAACAATAGGCATTACCGGGATGATGAAAGCTAGAGTTTTTCCAGACCCGGTCTTAGCAGCGCCGAGGATGTCCCGTCCACAGAGTGAGTGAGGCAGTGAGGCCCGCTGGATCTCACTCATCTCCTTGTACTTTGGTGCAAGCCCTTCCTTGGTCTTTCGTGAGATGGGGAGTTGCCGAAACAGCTTGCAATCTGCATATGGGGTGAAACCACCGTCCGCCGTCCTGCCAACAGGCGCCGTCGGCGGCTGCGCAGGTATTGCAAGCGGGTTGGTCCCGGAGTCGGGCTTTCGCGCTTCGATCCATTCTTCCAGGAGCTTGATCTCTTGAGACTCTGACAGGCGCTGCTGCTTGCGCGATTTCTTCACCCTGAGGCGACGCATGGAGGAGACGAAGAAACGGTGATTGGGTTTTGAGGAGAAAAGGGTTTTGAGTACTTCAATCGGCGTAGGGTTGAGGCCTCGTTTAGGGGCTGTTTGGTATCGGATTTAAGTCGGATTTAGCTAAATCCAGCCAAACGGTTTTACAGCGCGCGTTAAATCCAGAGATTCAATAAATCCCGGATTTACGGATTTACGGCTTAAATCCCGGATTTACGGCTTAAATCCCGGATTTACTGAATCCCTCGGTTCGGTGGATTAAACGGGATTTAAAGAGTGGCGGAAGACTTATCCGCGGCAACCGTGTCGCCGAAGCTCAACAGTCGCCGAAGAAGCGCGCGAAAGGGAGAACCTTCACAGCCAGCAAGCTCCCGTTGTTGCTTTCGATCAAAATGTCGTAACTTCCGAGCCGACAGGAAGGGAAAGTCGTCGAAGGAGCGAAGTCGAACAGCCACTAAGGAGCAATCTCTACGGCTTCGTTTGGGACAGCTTTTTTACTGCTTTCTAAAACAGAGTTTTAGTACAAAATTTTTTATTTTTGTACTAAAACTCCGTTTTAGAAAGCAATAAAAAAGCCATCCCAAACGAAACCTACACCTCCTGCGAAGCAACGAAGCCGAACAGCAACGACGGCAAACCCTAGACGCCTCAAAGTTATTATTGATTAATATAATTTAAACGATTAATAATTAAGTTAATTAACTAAATAATTAATAGTATAATTAGTGCATAAATAGTTAGTTAATTTAACTTAATGGACTAATTAATGATATAATTAGTAATTAATTATTAATATAATTAGTGTATTTAATACATCATCTTTCATTTTGTTCGATGTTAGTTTGTAATTTGTTTTTTATTGAATTTTCGATCATTTTATATTAACTAAAATTGGTTTTATAAAATTTTATGCAATTTTTGATTTCGTAAATATCTCCTTTAAATTTAAACCCCTAATCGTCATAAATCCTTATATATATTACCAAACAGTTTCTCAGGATGTAATAGGATTTAACATTTGACATACCAAATAGTTTCCAGGATTTAACATATTTCGGATTTACTAAATTCGGATTTGCAGGATTTATTAAATCCCACTTGTTGTCAAACAGTCCTTTAATCTCTCTCTTAAATAATCTTTTGTTAAACTGTGGAAATTATTTGGTGCGGATGTGGGGAGTTGAATAAAATCGTCATAGGTTGGTATGTAAAAGTGCATATTAAATTCTATTTCATTTTTTGGTTCTTTCCAAAATATTCATCTTTCACTTTAGGATTTTAAATTGGCGGTTTTTTTAGATGAAATACCATGAAATTTTCATAATTTTTATGATTTCAGTTCAAAATACATTTTTCATAGTTGGTGGAAAGAGGAAAACGAGAAAAAGCCAATGAAGATAAAATTATGAAAACATCCATTAAGAGGAAGAGGAATAGCTAAAGTTGAAAGAAGAATAAGTTGCAAAAAGAAAAGTTTTTCTGTACATTTGGAAAATATGTTGGGGGTTCCAACGGGGTAGCAGCGTCCCCTAGCGGGGGTCTGAGGAGGCAACGCCCCTTAGCAGGGTTTGAACTGGGTCGCGGGGTTAAGGGTTAGCGCCCTTGCGGTGGTTTTCCTCATGAACAAATTTTTATCATAAAAGTGATTTTGAAGTTTTGTATGTCTTCAAAGTTTATAAGTCGTTTGTACTCTGTAATTTGTAGTACTAAAAGCTCAGTCATTTGCACTCCGTGATTTTTAGTGATTTTTTTTTCATTTTAAAGTTTTCTCATATTTTTTACACCTATGTATTACAGAAACTTTAAATCTTTCTCAGCTAGTTTATATGCCCTAGCTTCTCGCAACCGCTCAGTACCAGTCGGTACCGCTTAGTATCGAGCAGTACCAAGCATTGGATGAGCACTGCGGAGAGGTACCAACCAGTAATAAGCGGTATCGAGCATTAGTACTGAGAGTATTGCTTATTGAGAGGTGCCGAGCATAGTCATTCAGTATTGCTTATTGAGAGGTACCGACCAGTACTGCTATGTACCACTCATGTTGATTCAGATTTTTTTAAAAAAATGTTGATTCAGATGTATGAAATCTGATTAAAAATACATAATTATTTAGTATTGCTTATTGATAAGTATCGACCAGTACCGAGCGATACCGAGCATTAGTACCAAGCGGTATCAAGCATTGGTATTAAGAATTCATTGGTATCAATATTGAATATCATTAAGGGAATAATTATGCTTGGTATCGCGATGTACCAATCATATTTATTCATATGTAAGAAATATGATTAAGAAATACATAGTTATTTAGTATTGCTTATTGAGAGGTACCGACCAGTATCGAGCGGTATAGAGCAGTACCAAGCATTGGTATCGAGCATGGTACTGAGAGTTCATCGATATCAACATTAAATATCATTAAGGGAAAAATTATGTATGGTACCACTGTGTACCTGTCATATTGATTAAAATGTAAGAAATTAGATTATGAAATACATAGTTATTTAGTATTGCTTATTGAGAGGTATCGACTAGTACTGAGCAATTTGTTAGATTGTACTATGTTGTGGTTTTGAGCATTGACTCAGTTTGTTAGATTGCACTAAGTTAGCATTAACACTGCTCATTAGATTGTACTATGTTGTGTTTGTTAGCATTGACTTTATATCCTTTATTTGTCAGCATTGAATCTATTCACTTACTAATATTGAAATCTCAGGGTTTTTTTTAACATAGAGAATTTTGAGAACAGATAATACATTGCTTCATTGATAGACGAACATGTAGTACTACGAGAAAGGAACAACAACACAAATCTGCTACAGAGAACATACATATCATAACAAACATAAAACATACAGCTAGGAATATACCGCATCATTATAATTATGATTCAACATAAACTAAATATTACAAGCGCGAACAAACTACATAAAGGCATTATCACTCACTACTCTACCTTATTCAATCGATGCTAATGTGCTTGAATTTGATTTTGCATTCGACAACATTTAAAATGAAACTCAAACTCTCGCTGCAGGTCTATCCAATCTTTTGCATCAAAATAATATGTTGCACCTCCACCTAATATCTCCTTCATCTGATTTCCATAAAAGTCTAGAATAAATTCTTCCTCCCATGACAATTAAGGATAATAAAGAATAATGTCGTCCATGTCGTCCACTAACCTTTCGAAATCTTCTAAAGAAGCACCTTCATGTCGTAGATGATGGTAACACATTTGGAAGACGCGAAAATCCACGACATGACCATCATATGCGTAGAATATCATCTCTAAATATATCCAACCTAAACTGTTTAAGAAATTACCTATCTTGTAATCATCGATCTCATACCATCTTTGTGCAAATTTAAAAGTAAACAATCGAGATTTTCAGCCTAGTCAAGCGTAGAACGTCTAAAAATATCATTTTTCCCTCGCCTTCGTCTCTAAAGAACTATCCAAAAATCCTCTCATATATTGTTGCAATCATCTGGTTCCATTAAGCATTAAATCTTTCACAGGAAGGTCTCTAATCATCTCCAAACTTGGCCAAAACATTATAAACCAAATGATATATAATCTCAAACCTCAAATATTACATAAAATTTACCTGACTCAACTTGTTCCAATAAGCCTTTTTCACTGCCTCCAAATGCATCTCTTATATAGAGGATGTTTATACTACAATACATTTACACTAAAATAAAATAAAATTTAATGCTCCTAATGATCAACTACTCTGAAATTTAAATTCAAAACTAAAACGAAATAATGCGGTGACTAGCAAAAAGTTACTTATTATTTCAGTGTAAGTTGTCTGATCAACGGGTGATTTACACTTTGATCACGCGACTTACACTTAAATCAAATTTATTTTAAAAAAAATTAATTAAGTGTAAGTTATTAGGGCTCGATCGGGCGTTTTCCGTCGTAGATTCCAAGCCGCATTTCTAAAGCAGCGGGAATGGTATCTGTTCTGCAGTAAGCACTTCCATTTGAGCATCATTACCTCTGGATCGGGTCCAGATTGATCTTCTTCCCCAAGATCCACGGTAACTCTTGATCTTCCTGTAGCCAAATCGGCATATGGATCGCTCAATCGATCTCCATTTGTCCCCTGGAAATGGAAAGCCTTTGACTGTCATCCTGTCAACGATCTTAAAAACCAGTGGATGGGAATGCTTAAACCTTTTATACAAATTTTAAATATTGAATCCCCTTTAATTACTACGCAACTACCTGAAACTGGTAAGATTTTACCTTGTAGGGTTTCTTAATTGCAATTGCCAACCCTACTAGTGTTTCCCCATTTCTCCACCATGGAGGTGCACCTGAAAGAGCTTTTCACCAGATTCCAGGAACAATTTAGCTCTGGTCCCAGCCTTGGCCCGACTTCTGGAACTTGTCTCCTCAAGGTTGAGGGGATTCCCACAGCTTTCATCAAATCCCTCTTTCGGGCCTCCGCTGCACTCTACCGCACTGAGCCATGGAAGCGAATTCGACCCTGCCACCTCTTTGGTGTTCGGATTGGCAAAGAGTTTGATTGGCCTGGCAAGAAACAACCTTTCCCTTGTGCCCAATTCATCGGCGGGGATGGTGGTGATCTTGGCTTTCACATGTTCAAATCTGACCTTGATGCTCAAAAGATGTCAGGGTTGTCGGAAACCAGTGTGCCTACCGATGTTGAGCTTCTACGGGTTATGTTCTTGCCTGAATCCCTATTGCTTCCTTCTACGAAGAGAATGATTAGATCCTTATCTTTGGAAGTAGAAACTGGTGATAAGTTTCCAATTATAGATGTTGCTCGTCGTACTTCGACTGGCAATCGTTTCAGGAACCCTACGGCCGAGGAGCTTCGATATGTCTTTGCTTTCATGAAAGCGATCACCCTTTTGCACCCATTTCTGCAATTTGCTGACAATGCATTGTCAGGAAAGCGAAGAGTGATCAAATTTGAGCCTTTTATCGAGACTGTGGATGTTCAGTGGCCTCCTGAACTTCCAAGAGCTGGGGAATTAGTTGCAGTCACTATTTCTCATCCGCCTGGCCAGGTCTATCAGGAGAAGAAGCTGAATTCACAAAATTCAATGCAAGCAGCAAAACATGTAGAGGAAGAGGAGGAGATTCCCCAATAAGTAAACAAGTTTATCCTGATTTATTTCTTTATGTATTTTGTTGGCCTGGCAATGTTAAGTGTTATTTCTTCTTGGAGTTGTTATGAGTAATCAGGAAAATTTATTTGCAAATCATGAATTTATGTACACTTTTCTCCATTATATATGTACTAGAATGGGCACCATGAAATGCTTTTTTTTCTTCTTGTGGAGGAAAAAAAGCTAATAACTTGGGTATGCTTTTCCTGCGTCTTTATAAGCTGCTGTGCAAGGTAAATTAGCGGTTTGTTGATGATGTTCTTTAGTGTAATGTACTCATTTTCTGATTTAATTACTTTGCTGCTGATGATGGAAGTATAGCAAATAGTGCAACATATATAAAGATATACATGTTTTAGAGAGGAAGTTGAATGCAATATATACAAAAAATTTGTTTCTGATTTAACTCTTCTTTGTTCCCATTCTACATTGCCTTCTTCCTAAGACTACCTACATTAGTTGGATATCAGAGCCCGGAGATCGTGAAGGATGGTGGACTGCAGCGTGCGGTTGGCGACGATGGTCATAACCTTGACGCTTTGTGGGCAGCACATTTGGTTTTGATCCAACAATTTGACAAACTAGCTTCAGAATCTTTCGGTTCTTTGTCGAGATTCGCAGGAAACTTCAAATCATCACGACCGGAATGCAATTGCAACCTCCTACTCCAGCGACATAGCTGACATCCACATATGCAGTAAGACGAGGTCATGACTCTGATCGTGATATGAGAAGAGCCCCAATGGCAATTCCAGAAGTGAGAAGTCACATATTATGATGAAGAAGCTAAAAATTACAATAGGTTTGAATTGACCGATTTCGATGATGAAGATGCTCTAAAAGATCACTTCAGGCAGCAACGTCATATGACAAATAATCGGAATCACCACCAGTTCTGTGTGAAGTTAGACATACCATTCTTCAATGGCAAACTATTCATCAAGGCTACATGCACTGGGAGAAGACTTTGGATGGATGTTAAAAAATGTCACACTTATAGCTGCGAGAAGACTTTGGATGCCCTTAACATAGCTTGTTTATTTTTTTGCAACATAATTTGCCTCCACGGTATTTCATAAAGTCTCACTTCTGATCGGGACGTAAAATTCATTAGTCATTTTTGGGAGAAATAATGGTTCTGATCGGGACGTAAAATTCATTAGTCATTTTTTAGAGAAATAATGGAAGCGTATGCACACAGAATCCACTGCCAAATTATCAAACTGAAGTTGTAAATAGAACTATTGGCTAGATGTTGCGTTGCCTTGTCCAATGCAATCCCAAACAGTGGGATGAGACTTTGGGCCAAGCTGAATTCACATACAACCCAATGTCAAATCGATCCACATGTCGCTACCCCTTCAATATAGTTTACCCAAAAAATGCCTAACCACATAATTGACCTCATTGTTTTACCGAAATCCACGAGTGAAGCTGTAGCTACCTTGTTGACACAGTTCACATTTGTAGAAACTTGCTTGAGAGGAAGAAGCACTTCCTCTTTGATCTTGAGAGAGGAGGAGAGAGAGAGGGAAGTGACAAAACTTAGATTTTGTATTTCTTAGTCATACTCTATTACAACCTAAAGCCCCTATTTTATAGACTCAAAATAGTAACGCCAAAAACTATACTAATGGCTATACAAGCCATACAAGAAACAACCTAAATCTATGACCAATATCTAACAACATTCCTGCTTCAAGATGTCAAGGCTAAATCAATGGCTTCCAATGACATTTACAAGCAGCATGCAAAAATAAATCACCATTAAAAAAGCTTCAATGCAGGAGGTTTATTTATGCTTTGACCATGTAAGGAACATTTCCTGCCCAGGATGTTTCAATCTAATAACTTGAACATACCAAAAAAGTATTTTGTTCTTATTTTTTGTGGTTAGAGAGTACTGCATTGAAGAGTTATATTCATCATGCAGGCCTTGTTCGTAGCATTATGGCATTTTTAAAGCTTTATAATAAATCATATTGCAGCAGGTGAACTGGTAAGGTAATCAAAATAATAGAAATTTAAGCTTTCATTCCCTTTTCTTAGTAACACTCTCTGCATAAACTCCTAAATCCTCTTGAATCTGAAACTCTCCCAACCTGAAAAGCATGTTTAAGTTATAATGGGGAGAGAGGATCACAGAGTTGACCATTGGTGGTTGGGATAAACTTGCTGATGAGGAAAATGATGAAAAGTGGGTACTGAATGGTGAAGAAGGGTAATTTATAAATAGGGCCCTTTCCGTCGCATTTTCAACAAACAAGGCCCTTTTCGGCGGATTATCCGTCGGTCAAGTCATCGGAGGAAAATGGGTCGGTACAAATTCATCGAGTTTAAGTAAGCCGGCGCAATTTTCGTTGGTAACTCTGCCGATGAAAACCGGTGGAATTTTTACCGAAAATTTATATTTTCCGGCTAAAATCCGGCGGAATATACACCGGTATTCGTACAGCGGAAATTACGCCGAAAATTTACCATCGTATATTCCGCCAATTCTGCGGTCGTATTTTCCGGCGTATTTTTATTTGTCGGAAACTCCGATACTAATGACATATTTTCCTGTAGTGTTAATGGAGGATCTCTCTTGTTATAAGAGTGATGCTCAAAGGTTTTCTGCTTCTTTTAATGATTATGTTAGCCTACTCTCCAGTATTTCCCAGTTCAGTTCACTTAGAGTTTTTCTTAAGCATGTTGTTCCTTTTAACTTCTTTTTTGAAGCATAATGAAGTGTATAAGGACTATTTTATTTGTAGTAGGGGATCCAAAAGCTACACTGATGGTCTACAATCTCCTCTTTTCTTGTTTACCTATTATCTTGTTCTAATCCTCATTAATGCCATTTTGTATTGGATATTACTTCCTATGGTTTAATGGAGCAATGCCCTCTCTTTTCTTCTTGAAAGCTGCAATTTTTATCTTTGATTGTGCATGGGTAGGAGTAGGACTAATGCTCTGATATGTTGTAAAATATAGTTTATTTTTTAGAGGATTATTTTGATTTTTAAGCCTTTTTATTTTGGGTAGACTTACATTTCTATACATTTCACCCTATGGTTTATGCTCTTTTATGGAACGCAATTCTTACTGTTTAGGTGACATTATTTTGATCAATTTATTACGTGCAGAGTCGGAGGAGAAGAATTATCCGGATTTGCTGCGTATTTGCTATGTAAATGTAAATGCTCAACAAATACTCAGTTGATAAGTATGTGCTGATTTGTTACGTATTTGCTGAGTATTTATAAATACGCAATAAATATTCAGTAAATACGCAACAATCCGGACGATTCTTCCCGTCCGAACTCCGCACAAAATAATTGCTCCACTTTTCCCAAAAAAAATAAAAAGTTTTGCATGTATTTAAGATTAAATATTTTTATAAAAAATATAATATTTTATGTATTGATAATCTTATACTATGATGCATGTCATACTTTACTATTTTATTATTATACTTGCGATTGATAATTAAAATTACTCTCATATATCTTATCAACTGACAACATTGACATTCTACTTGCGATATGACACATGAATGTTCCATGGTTGATGTGCAACAACATCTTTTTATCTTTTTTTTTTTTTTTTGGAAATTTTGTGGCCAAAGCCCATATATTACAATTGAAGAGATTACAAGTAAAGGTGAAGTTGAGTACAAGTAAAGGTGAAGTTGAGTACAAGTAAAGACCTTCATAAGTACAAGTAAAGGTGAAGTTGAGTACAAGTAAAGGTGAAGTTGAGTACAAGTAAAGGTGAAGTTGAGTACAAGTAAAGACCTTCATAAGCAAAAACAAATACTTATGAAGGTCAAATATAAGAAAACCACAACTATACCAACCAAACCAACCAAAAATACACAAAAAGAGCTAACAAACAAAGCAGCATACCAAGCACCAAAACTGCCCATTAGCAGTTATGCGCTAGGAACAAAAAAATCAGATTCCCTCAGAAAGCAATCCAGTAGCAGCTGAAGAGTGAAATAGCAAATCCAACCATAAGATGAGTTGGAACCGGAGTAGAACATCACAGGCACGCCAGGGAAACCTGAGAGAGGAAAAAGCAATGGCAAAGAAATAGCATAATAAATAGAACCGAAGTTCTCAAAAAAGGCTCCCATACGAAATAACCAGGACTCAGGCAAAAAACTCCTGGTTGCCCGAAGACCATCCAAGGGGGTGCAGTCAAAGAACATAACGTGGAGCTTCATCATTGTCCTGGTTATAAAACCAATCCCGGCCAAAAATAGCCCAAGCAGTAAAGAGCAACCATCCAAATCAGATATTCCTCTAAATTTCTCCCCCAGAGAAAAAACACCGGCAACAATTCCATCAGCAATATACATCATCTGCCCTCCCATAAAAACACCCAGGCGCTAAGAGGTAGAGAAGCAGTGTGGAAACGCAATCTGCAATTCATCAAAATGTTTCCAAAACTTGGCCTTGGCAAGTATAGCATTAGAAATTTTCCTGATAGAGCTAGTGGCAGAAATATTAGCGTTGTTGTAACGTCTAGCATTACGATCCCTCCACAAATAGTAGACAGTGCAACAAGTAACAAAGTAGCAAAAATCCTTCCCCTCATTCTTAAGTAAGTGATTCCCCTCTAAGAATTCAAAACACTTGCAGCAGAGACGGTCTAAGAAGGAAGCTTTGTAGCAAAGGGAGGAGGGTAGAAATAACAGTAAACATGTAGTCGCATTGAAAGAAACAATGAGCAGTGGTTTCCATCTCAAAACAATAAAAATGGCAAATCGAATGAATCAGGATGTTCCTTTTGGCAAGATTATCAACAGTTTTTAAACCACCGAGAAGAGCCATCCAAACATAAGAAGAATGTCTTAGAGCATATCTTCGGTGCCAAACAAAGTTAGCCCAGACAACCTTCTCAAAATCAGCATAAAAATGCATATAAAAGGTCTTAAAACAGGGTTTTTTAGGATGGGCCCAAACAATACACGATTCATAATTAATAAAAATCTGAGTAGCAGCAATACATGTTTGTGTAGAAAGATCCAACACATTTGGAAGAACCCAAGAGCCATCAGATATAAACATCTCAACTTTGTTATCCAAAATGGGGTTGTATTGAATCAGGTCTTCAAGAGCATAGCCACCACACCAAGGGTCCCAAAACATAGATAAGTTACTAGTTACAGTCACCTACAACCTAATACTCTCTTTGATCTTCAAAACAAGTCCACCTAAAAACTTCCATAATTTAGAGGACTTGGGATTATTAGGCTTCCAAGGAGAAGTATAATACGATCTAAACCAAGAAGCCACCAAAGAGTCTTGATTATAAAATCTCCACAGAAAAGTGAGACCAAAAGAAAACTGCATGGACTCAATGGAAGGCAAACCCAAACCCCCATTACATTTAGGAAGACAAGTATTTCTCCAAGCAATCAAGTGTAATTTTTTCCCAGTCTTTGAACCATGGAAGAGAAACTTAGAGGAAAGCTTATCAAAAAATTTGCAAATATTCTTAGGTAAAATAGCCCCTCTGATCCAATAAGCCAATGTGTTGAAAAAAGTGAACTTGAGAAACTGAACTCTACCTGCAAAAGACAAAAATTTTACTTTCCAACCATCAAGTAGAGTATAAAGCCTACTTGGAAGTAAGAAGTTTTAAGCTTTTTGGTGGAGATAGGGATACCAAGGTAAGTAAGCACAGTTTCAGAATAAGAAAAGCCAAGGAAGGTTGTAATATCCTGGTCTTGAGGGGTATTAAGAGAAAACATGATAGAACACTTAGCATTATTGACTCTCAAACCCGAGCAATCAGCAAAAGAGGTTAGAGTAGTCATAAGAGTTTCATCATTAGGAAAAGAGGATTTCCCAAACACCAAAATGTCATCCGCGTACAGGAGATGGTTAACTTGCAGTGCTTGAGAACAAATACCAGAAAAAATATTAGCATCCAGATCACAAGAAAAAGCATCCATGACCACATCAAAAAGGAGAGGAGAGAGAGGGCATCCTTGCCTTAGGCCAGAGGAGGAAAGAAAGAATCCCTCTAAGGCCCCATTAATACACACAGAAAAATATACATCCTCAATACACCCTTTGATCCAACTCACAAAAAGAGGAGGAAAGCCCTTTTGCAAAAGTCTGGAAAGTAGAAAATCACGAGAAACCGTATCAAAAGCTTTTTTGATATCAAGCTTAGCACAGAAATATTTCCCTCTAACATTGGAATTGAAATCTTTAAGTATTTCAGTGGCAAGCACAACATTATCCGTAGAGATCCTTTGCTTAATAAAACCAGCTTGGCTAGGGTGTATAATGGAAGGCATAACCTCCTTCATCCTATTAGCAATTATTTTGACTATGATCTTATAAAATACATTGCAAAGGGAAATAGGACGATAATCAGAAATGAAAGAGGCATGAGAACCCTTCGGAATCAAAGCAATAGCAGTGGCTTTAGCACATTTAGGTAAAATTCCAGTAATAAAGAAATACTTGATAGCTCTGCAAACAAAACCACCAATCACATTCCAAGAGGCTTTGTAGAACTCAAAGGTAAAACCGTCAGGGCCCGAGGCTTTAGAAGTTGAACCAGCAAAAACAACATCCCTAATCTCCAAATCAGAAATAGGCTCAACCAGCGGAGAGATGAGGAGGGGAGGGATAGTCAAACCAGCAGGGATAAGGTAGGAGGTGGCATTGATAGGTTTAGGAGTATTATAGAGTGATTGGAAATAATGTACAGCAATTTTAGCAATATCCTCATGCTTAGTAAAGATACCATCCTCAGTATGAAGCTCATTAAGCCGGCCATAAGCTTTCCTATAATTAATTCTAGCATAAAGAAAACCAAGGTCATCTTCCCCCTTGGATAACCAATTGACCTTAGCACGTTGAATGGTCCAAGAACTCCAAGCCTTTTGAAGGGAGGCAAGAGAGGAGTTAATGTTCTTAAGAGTAAAATTTAAATTAAGGTCAAGAGGGCTCTCCTGAATCTGAGCAAAGCATTGGCTTTGTAAAAGTTGAAGCTCATGAATTCTGTTAAAGAGAAAAGTAGAATCCGACCACTTCTTCCCCTTAATATGATCTTTAAGCTCATGAAGTTTGGAGAAGAGGGAGAAATAGGATTACCAACATTCCTTCCAGCAAAGACTGAGATTAGCCCATCCCAAAAGCCTTCCATATGCAGTAAATAGTTTTTAAACAAAAACAGGGCATAAGGTTTAGAAGCAATCCCTGGCAGAACCACCAAAGGAGAATGATCAGAAACTGAAGGGGGTTCTATTTTGTAAAAAGAAGTGGGGAAAAAATCCAGCCAAGTCGAGTTGACAAAGGCCCTATCCAGTGGGGATTTCAAAGATTGTGAGCTTTGTTGGACATCCACTTGTTGTGGATGATCTTACTGCTCGAAAAACTCGCTTAATGTATGCTAGAGTCTGTGTTCTGGTTTCCAGCAATTCCTCTTTCCCTGATGAAATTCCGATCTCTCTGGACGGGGATGATGTTAACCTAAAGGTTCTTTACGACTGGAAGCCTTCTCCTTGTACTGGTTGTGGCTCTATTGTCCATCCTTCTTCTCTATGTCACATTAACCCTCAGCCAAAGCCTATTGCTCCCCCGCCCCGTGGTAGGAGTTCTTCTCAGCCTCAACAATCTACCCCCCGACAACCTCCACCAAAACCTCCTCTTCCCTCCTCCACTCTCCAGTTTATACCGCCTTCTATTGTTACGGATCGTCCAACCTCCCTGCTACTAATCCTACTCCTCCTAAACTTTTGTCAGATAAGTCTCTTCCGATTGAAAAGCTTGATTCTTTACAACCCACTGCTTCTCAGCCTAACAATTCAGCTCAGGTTTTGGTTCCTATCCCTAACCTTAACTCTCCGACTGAGGATATCTCCTCTACTGACCATCAGCATATTGACACCATTGCCCATTCTCCCAATTCTAAATCTGATTGCCCTTCTTTTCATGAACAACAACCTACCTGCAGTATCTCTTTACCTGCTAACCCTCCAAATATTTCTCCAAACCGTTTTGCTGCTCTGCAGGCTGAAGAAGATCCTCCTGATGATGAAGCCTCTTCTTCTTCTACCCCTCCTAAAGATCCTAATATCCCTCCCGTCAAACCCAAAGGTTCAAAAGGTAACAAGGGTAAAGGAGCTCATAACACGCGCTCATCCAATTCTAAATCAAAATGACCTTATGCCCAATTGGCTGCTGGAACGTTAGGGGCTTTAACTCCCCTGATAGAGTTCTAGCTTGTAAAAAACTTGTCTCCTCTTATCATTTGGACATGTTGTGCATTTTGGAAGCAAAGGTTCCTTTGGATTCCATGTCTGATGATTAGTTTGTTAATAACCACAAGGTGTTTGTGAATGAAGCTAGTTGTAACAACTTTGATTGCTCGAGCCCTGGCAGAATTTGGTTAAAATGGAATCCCTCTTTGGTTTCCTTTACCCCTATTATAATCTCTCCTCAGCTCATCCATGGAACTTTATGTGTTGGTTCTCTTTCTCCTTTGTTATTTTCTGCTGTCTATGCCTCCAACCATCCTACGGAAAGAGTTTCTTTGTGGCATCAACTTCTTTAATTAGCCACTTCCATCACTGCTCCCTGGATTATTGTGGGAGATTTTAATTGCTGTCGATCTCAGGAGGAAAAAGCTGGGGACAGGGCTCTCCATCATAGCCGTTTTGAAGAGATGAATAGCTGGATTTTTAACTCTGGTGTTTTGGAGCTTTCCTCGACTGGCCTATACTACACATGGTTTAATCAAAGATCTGATGACCCTATCCATCTTTTTATCATTGAAGAACATACATCGAACCAATTTAACATATAAACTTGAAACAGTACTCTCTATGCAATATGCTTGGCTTTTATAATGATCCCTTTACTTCTCTTGGAATGAGGGTTAGATGCCTCAGCGTGTTTACAAGCTTCATTTTTCTCACTCACTTGCCCATTTTAAGTCGTCGCTCCGCCGCCGCACAAGATGTCATTGATCTTATCGCCGGCGAGGTCAATTCTTAGCCGCCCTGGCCCTGCGACCACCGCTGTACGTAGCTATCATCCTCGAAACGCGACGGTGAGAAAATCATTCTCGTAAGCTGTCGAGATCTGCTCCACATCTATCATCGCCGACAATCGGAACTTCTCATAAACTCCCTCTCCTATCTCCGTCGTCGCCACCCTCAACTCAATGCCGTATAAACCCATCATTTAATCAAAAATACACTATCCAAACAAATCTTTTTGATCTATCATATCTACATGAATCTATTGTAACTCTATTCATAGGCATCTCCTAACGTTTTGTACCACCATATATTTGGTATGGACAACTTTAGACTACTATAGAGATGGAGAGTACTTATGGGAACATTTTAAGTTTCGTTTGAAATAACTTTTTTTATTACTTTCTAATATAGAATTATCAGTTCAAAAAATTTCTGCTAAAAATTTACTTTTAAAAGTAATAAAAAAATAGTTCCAAACAAAACCATAATTTCAAATGCTTCTAAATAATTATCCCAAATATAAATAAGCTACATATAAGATTGCTTTCAACACATCCCCTAAACCATCACAATCTCAAACAAGAAAATTCATATGAAAATTCTTTTGAGCTACAGCTTTATTTATTTTTTATTCTTGCAAGCTAAGCTTTACTTGTTTTTTTATTAGGATGATTTACATGTATGCCATTGAATTCTATAAATATTTATATTTATTTACAAAATATCTTAATTTTTAAATAATATTAAAATATCACTGATATTAATTCATATAAAATATATTAGTTAGACATTACAAGCATCATATAAATAAAAAAAATTATAAATTTATTTTTAAAATTTCAAGTTCAAATGAGCTGTGTAACATATATTTTATTAACTTTTTTAGAATAATTATAGAAAAAAAATTTATCTAAAAATATTTTGACAAAAAATTAAAATATATTAAATAAATTAAAATATAATTAAATTTAATGCCGCACAAATTTTTAACAATTCCCTTTAATTTATTGTATTAAAATATCTAAACATGCTATAATTAGTTAATTACAATATCCTCCTCCGCTTTAAAAGATCCCTCTTTCTCTCTTCCTTGTCGCTACCCTTCAATTTCTCCCTTGCTCTCCCTTACCATGGAACTCTACAGAATTCACGGTTCGCCATGGCCAATCTTCTTCCCCATGCCCTTGCTCTTCCGCGCCCAATCCCATGCTAATAACAATGTTCGTTGGATCCAAACGCCCGATTCCTACCTCTTGTCTGCCGATCTTCCAGGTACCCTCTCTATCTCTCTCAAACACCAGCTCAAACCCTATAAGCACTAACCCTAACCCTCGTATCTGATTTGCAGGAGTGAGAATAGAGGAAGTCAGAGTGGAGCTGGAGGATTCGCGATACCTGGTGATTCGCACTGAGTTGAGTTCCGCGGAAGGCGGCGATGACAGAGATAGGAGAGGGAAGGAGTTTATGAAGAAGTTCCGATTGCCGGCGATGGTCAATGTGGAAGGGATCTCGGCGGCTTACGAGAATAGTTTGCTCACCGTTCTCATTCCGAGGACGATAGTTGCGGCGGTGGCCGCAGGGCGATGGCGCCTGAGAATTGACCTCGCCAGCGATGAGGTCGAAGAAGTCTTGCGCGGCGCTGGAGCGGCCCGCGCCGCTTGATGACGGTAAATGGCCAACGATGATGGATGGCTGGGATTTTTTAATATAAGTAATGGTAATTAGGAAGAAATTATTATTATTATTCTTTAAATATTTATATTTTAGGTTGCAATTTAAGTTCTTTTATGCTTTCATCTGATGAATTATTTAATGTTCGGTGTTTTTTTTTTTTTTGTATTTGCTTTTTGACATAATATCATATTATTAATGAGGGGCAAATTCATTTATTATTTATACAAATTATTATTAAAGATTTATGATATATTTTTTAAAAATATTAAAGTATATATTAAATATTTTTATATGTAATTAATAATTTCTTATTAGAAAATTTTTTTTTATATTGTTCAAGTGTATTAATATGAAAATTTATTTTTATTATATTGTACAAAGTGTGCAAGTAAATATAATGAGGTTTACTCTTTTGATTACTCAAATAAAGAGATCATTAAAATATAAATAGGTGCAACTAAAATAAACTAACTATTGTAATATAATCTATTAATATGATGATTTTATTTAATTACCATATGAATAACTATATTTTTTAAAATGTAGTTGAATAAAATATTTAAACTATTAGTAGAAACTTGAAATCAAAATTCCGGCTTATTAAGAAATTGGATTTCTATTTTGGGTTTCTTTTGAATTCGTTAAATTAGATTAAAAAACATTTTAAAAAATAAATAGAGAAACTGGAATTCTTTTTTATAGGTTTCTTCTAAAAATTTGAAACTGGATTTCCTTTTTCTGGTTTAAAAAAAAACCGTAAATCCTATTCCTACTTTTGTTCATTCTTAAATTTTCACCTTGTAGGCACATATTTATAATAAAATTTATTAAACTTCTCATTTCTTAAATTTGCGCATTTAAATTGGTTGTCTTTATATAGGATAAAGCTCAAGTCACAAGTAATAAATAAAGTTTAGTCATTTTAAATTTTATTTAAAATTTTAAAAAAATTAATTAAATAGATATTAAAATTTTTATTTAAATAAAATATAATATATATTGAACCGGCCAACCGGCCAATTCATCCGAATCAAAATTGGCTCAACGATTTTCTAGTTGAACCGTCTGTTCAAACCGATTCTCACTAGTTCAATGAGAATCCGATTTTCTAACTGTACCAGATTGGCAACTTGATTGGTTCACAATCGAACTGGTTGAACCGACCAGTCCAATCTAGTTTTAAAAACATTGTTAAATATAATGCATTTAATATATAACATCATTATATGCTTAATACTATTGTATAAATAATAATAGAAGAATTCCATTTGGATATGCATATTTCTCTTGAAATAAATTACATTCACAATAAAGAAATCTTTTAAATTATCTCCTCAAAATTAATTTTTGTATTCAAATATGTTCGTCGATGAGATTAGGCCTTACTCGCAAGGCTAGCTAGGCTATTGTATAACATGGAGAAAGAAATGGGCAAGCGAGACCAGAAGCTCTGAATTATTATTATTCTCTTTGAAAAATAAAAAATGATACAAAGTCTAAAAGATACTTCTTAAATTGTATTTATGATGTTAAAAGCTCTATAAGAGAGTTAACACCCAAGTACTAAATAATATAAGATTTGGCTATTATATATATGCTAATGAGATAATAATACTATATTGTCTATACAAATTAGTAATAGCCTCTAATGTGGCCTTGAAGTCCTTTTGGCAAGTGCCTTTGAACACCTTTGTGAGTGTTACTTGATGTCTCTTATGAGTGACCTCAAGTGGGCTTGGTGAGTATTTTTGGCACCCCGGGTCGAGTAACTAAGTGGGCTTAGTTGTCATCCCTGGATGTTTGTGAACGAACCTCTCTTATTACCTAGGTGAACAACTTCCTTTGCTATAATGAGTGTTTGAAAGGTGAATTTCCTTGGTATAGTGCTCGTTAGGCGAGTCCACCACTTAGTTGAGCATTCCTGGGGTGATTCACCCTTTAATTGAGTGTTCGCCTCTATCTTTGGTAAATATTTTAAATAAGAGTCCATCTTAGTATCCTTTGGACATGCATGTTGAGATGTACATTTAGTTCACTAATAATATTATATCTTTGGAGAGTGACCTAAAAAAAAAGAGAATTAAATAAAGTATTTACCATTTTTATTGACCATTAAATATGAGTAGTTATAGATTTTATTCCTGCATTGAGAAAGGTGCCTTATTTACATGCTTGATAATGATGCTTGATTTGATCCCTCCAAAGTCCAAGTTGTGTTGTTTGATACATAAGGGCAAGAGCTCTTTCTTTAATGCTTGCTCATTGTTCCTCATTGGTTTTGCTATCTTAACATAGCTTCTCCACTCGCTAGAACATGGTCGAGTCTATCCTTAAGGCAATATATGTAGATAATATGTAGTTTTGAAGATGAATAATTTGGAAGGATGTCCAACAAATAATAAAGGGGTGGAAGTTGAGTCAACAAATTTGGGTGAGTAAGAAGGCAATGAAGACTAGCTTGAGCATGGTAAGGCATGACCAGGGTTCTAATTTTGGACTTGTTGTCAGGTAGTGAGCCAACAGACTCAAAATATGTCACATAATTGGCCATATTTTCCCTCTTTGTGCAAATCCAAATAAGGCATTTTGAACATTAATGATTGCTTAGCCATGTGATCTCATTGAAGAATGCATTCATCAGCTTGGGCACTCTCACTCTCACCCACCTTTGCAAAGAAGTGGATTCTTCTTCATTGTTAGGGCAGTGTCTCTAGTGGGTGTTGAGCTCAATATCCTAGCACTTGATCGCCCCTTTTGGATCATAATATCCAAATATTATTTTGGCATCTGCACCATAGGAGCAGCTTTAGGGCCTTGCTCCAAGGCTCCCTAAATTGTTGTGTAATCCTCTCCTTGGTATCTAAAGAATGTTGGAATAATATATGTTAGTGGATGATATTAAACCCAACTTATAAGACTAGCTGGGCTAGCACATGACACAAAAAAGAGAAGAGAGAGAGTAAGATAATGGGATATAAAAATCTATTATTCTCTATAAATAATTAAAACTTGCATGAAGTCTAAAAGATGTCTTTTAACTTTAAATTTATAAGGTCAAGAGTTCTACATAAAAGGCTACACCCCAAAAATGATAAAGAATATATAAATTAATTATTGCAAATATATGGATGAGACTATGGTAGTTGCATGTGGATAATAAGATTTGATGTGTTCTTGAGTCTCCTTTTTCACACATGGCTAATGTTGCTATATATCCCTTATGAGTGCCTCTATATAGGTCCAGCCTCCATCTTTTAATGGATTTAAATGAACTGCTTATGTCACCTAGTAACATGTCTTCATTGGCTAGAGTGAGTGTTAGAGGATGTGAATGGATGCTTGAAAATTGTAAGCTTGGTAAGCCCTAATTTTCTCAAGGGGTGTTCAAGACCTCTAAGATTTTATACCTAGACCTTCCTAAGTTTATTTAGAATGTTCTTCAACCTTTTACAAACTCATTTGTAATAAAATGAAACTAAAACCAAAAATTCAAAAATACCTCTAGGTAGGCCTTTGGGTTTAATTATACAAGGTATGGTATAGTTAACCTTAGACTTGTGTTGACACGACCCAAGACTTCTAGGACATTCCATAATCATGCTAAATATGTAGTGAACCATAGGCCACGCGTTAGTTAAAATCCTAAAAATCTTAAAATGCCATAAACCTCATGACTTACCCTGCGTGGCCCATAACCATAGGGTAGTGGACCCTATAGGGACCCTTGACTTACTCTTGGACCAATTCCAAAAGTCAAGAATTCTTAGTCAACCCATTTGACCATTGGAAAAAGTTGGTTTGACCAAAATCATTCCTTAACTCTAAATTGCCTTAAATTAAAGCGAAGCATTAATATAAACCAAATAGCTTGGGTGTTGAGTCTAGGTGGTCTTGACCCATTCTAAGAAAGCTTTAATCATGTTTGACCCATGATCAAGTCTCCTTGATCATAGTCATGCTTTACCAAAACCCTTAAAAACTTAAAAGCCAGATTTAATATATAATTCAAGCCTAATGACCTTAGAAATGAGTTTAAATAGACTTAACCTATTTTAAAGAAATTTAATGGGTATAGAAAAGATAGAGTTTGCTAAGTCTTGGTATTTGGTTACTGTTTACTAATCACTTCTTTTTAAGATATTCAAGTTTTATTTTGTTTTTATATTTTTTCAGTTTTATTCTTTTGTAGTCAGCACAACTCAGCAGGCCACACTCATCGATTTTAATAATAATTTTTTTATTAAGTATTCAAATAAGTTTTGAAATTAGTTCATAATTACCATTGTACAATTAGCATAGTAGTGATTACAATTATTAAAACTTGAATAGCAATGCAGGAGAGTAAATAAACATGCACTCAAATATTCAAGCAAAAAATAACAAATTTCTCTAAGATCCTTATATCTCACATCATAATAGAATTTAGAGAATTCTAACTTTTATGACTCCCATGCTAGCATATCATGAAACATATCCTATGAGTCCCAATGCCCAGTAGGTGAGCACCAAAATATAACGTGCATATAACACTAAAACAGAATGTACATATAACATTAGAACATACCTTTAAAACCGTAACAAAACATCTCTCACACATACCATATCTCATAAGAATTACACATTTAAAACAAATAAGCATTTAATTCATTGCATTGTAGTACAAAATATATATAAAAACTCATTTTAGAATGTAACAAAATGCTTTACGTTAGGCATCAGAACAGACTACCGAGTATAAAATTATAATTTTAGAACCAAATTATCAGAGATTATTTCAAGCATTATTTTGTATCTTTAATTATACTGCAATATTATTTTTGAGGCCAAAATTATTTTTTAGACAATTAAAATGACGTATTTTCAAAATCCCGAGCGTAAAATTTCTAAAAAATACTTAAATGATTAGAATTATTGTTTCTATAACTTACATAAAGTTACAAATTGAAAATTTTGCATGTGTAAAGTTATACTCATTTTTAGACTATGAAAATATAAATTAAATTAAAAAATCTAGAAATTTCCTTATTTTAAAAAATTAAGATAGATAAAATACATCTATCTCGAGCCAAACAACTTTCAGAATTGAGATGAGAACAAAAAAAGGTCAAAATATCCCAAAACTAACTTTTCTCTCTAAGAATCCTCTCTCTCTCTAGCCAACTTCCTCTTTAATCAGATGAGATCAAAACAAGTAGAACAATGTATCATGTGAATCCGTAGGTGTTACAAACTAAACCCACTTGGATTAGTCCAAGTTGTCAATCCCATTGACTCGATCCAATCGAAACCGAAATCAATTTCAAATGACAATTTTTTTTCTTCATGTTCAAAACTCTTACATTTTTTGTGTAGTTTTCCTTTAAGCTAACAAGCCTTCCCTAAGCTTACTTTTTCTTTTCCAAATGCCATAGGGAGTGTACTTGCCATTATTTTCAATTTGCTTTCCATCATCATCTTTGTTTCTAACATTGTCATTTACCACATTGGAAGGCATTTTTTGTGTCATTTACAATAAGTGCTTGAGCTTGAGAATCCTTTTGTGAATTCTTCTTGAGTTCCTTTTTTGTTTCATAGATAGAGTAAAAATTTCATTAAGAGTATCTTATCTCCTATTGACAATATCCCATAAATCTAGAGCACAAAAATAGGTCCTTATTTTATTAGGGCAGAAATCAAAATTTTCTCCTAAAAAACATAGGAATTGAAATGGATATGTGGAATGCATGGACTATTATTAGATCAAACTAAGGTCTAATATCAGTGTATGGAGAAATTGAAATAAATATGACAAATACTGAATACTCTTAGGGCCATTTAGGATCATTTTTTCCTTTTTTTTTTCATGATTTTATTTTGTTATATTTATATTATAATTTCAAATGTAAATATGTCTTAAATGTGTGTTTTTTTTTCTAAGTTTCAAACAACAAGATGGTGGGGCGATGGTGGAGGTGGGAAGCGATGGAATTATGTGTCAGTGATGGTGGTAGCAATGGTGATAATAATGGTGGAAGTTGTCATGAAGAGTGGAGCAATGACTGGTGATGGTAGCAAGCAACAACGGTGATTGCTAATGGGTAGCAGTAGCTGCGATGGCAACTGGTTGCAACAACAACCTATTGGTCGAGGTTTTTCATTCTTAAAATATAAAACGTTCTAAGAAATTTTTTGTACATGTTTGTGTTGAACTAAAATGAGTGTAAAAATATTCTAAATGCACGAGTTTTGAAAATATTGGTGTTGGCTTTGAATTAAAAGAAATGTAGAGCAAAAATTTGAAGTATTTGTAATTCATTATCTAGTTCATTTTTTGTGTATTTTGAAATCATTCGGTTTGATCGAAATGTAGAGCAAAAATTTGAAGTATTTGTAATTCATTATCTAGTGACTAAACTGTTTGTCATTTTCGCTCTGGCCATTGTTAGACTCAATCAGTTGCCTGTCACAACTGCTTGCTGATCACCGTCTGATGTCGCCTTTAGTCACTAACCTCCTGACGCTATTTCCACCTACCGCCATCAGCCTCTCCCGTTCCCTTAGGTTGTCAACCGTAACCACCGCAGCTAGCCGTTTTTAATTACTACAATCATTGAGGTTTACAGTGCATTCATTTTACTTCAAGTTATAAAATATTTTAAATACATTGTTTATATGACATTTCTTTTACTCTAAATTCCTTCTTAAACAATCCAAACATCTCTTTAAATATTTTTGAAAATAATTTGATTTCAGCCTAAAATAAAATAAAATAATTAAAAAGCACAGACTAAAAAAAATTTTCAATAACAAAAATAAATAGATATTGATTTCAAGTAAAACATATAATTAATATCCAATATTTAAAGGTGATGACAAACATATATTATGCCGTTTTAAGAAAACAGAAGTAATTATCAAGCAGTATTGCCACAATACGTTTTCTTAAAAAAAAAAAAAAAGAAATAATAGAATTTTCGTCATTTGCGATAAAAAACAAAAAGTCCAATTATTTCCATCTAACGGCTTACAATCTCTAAAACACATCAGACTCATCCAACGGCTGAGTCGTGCGGTACGCGCAATACTGCACACTCGTTACGAAGCGGGATTTCCAAAAACACAAAACTCTTTGCTCTCGCGCTCTTCCTCTATCTCTCTCTAGGGTTTTCGTTTCAAATTCTTTCATTCTCTGAACTCGGATCTGCCAAGCATTCTTCTTTTTCCGGCCGTTGGCCGTAATCCGAGTTCTGTTCTAGGGTTTCGTGATGGTCGCTTGTCCCTAGTCCGGGCAATGGCTCTTTTGCCTCTTGCCGCAGAAGATGAGCGATAGCGAGGAGCCTACTGATGCCGGCGTCGGCTCTTCCGGGCGGTTTGAATTCCTACAAGCGAGACGTGATCTCCAGTCCAATTGGGAGGTCGACCTAGCCAAGAACTTGGAGGATTACCTCCTCAAGATTTGTTCCGGCGAGGCCACTTCAGAGCCGTCGGTTAATTTTGCAGAAGGTTCGGATTTTTAGCCTGAGATTTTTTTCTTTTTATAAGTTAAAGTTGGTTAATTCCTGTATTGTTGTATTGGTAAGTGGAAAATTTTTCTAATTTTTGACTGGGTGGAAATGTGGGTTTAGCTGCATTGCTTCTCCAAGGTTCGGTTCAGGTGTACAGCCGGAAGGTGGAATATCTGTATTCTCTGGTACTGCACGTTTTGGAGTTCCTTTCACAGAAGAGGTACGAAATTTGACTGATTTTGCTTAACTTTCATTTTGAAGTTTGAGGAAATTCCTTTGGTTGGTAAAAAGTCAACCTTTTTAGGGCTCAGATGAAGACCATATATCCGTACGAAAACGGTATTAAAATTGCAACAATGAATTAGGGATCTAGTTTGCTGCATTTCAAAAGTCCTGTAACAGTGTAGTATTTACAACTGAATGCGCATATTCAGGGTTTTTTGCAAGCATCCTTGCACTAAAATTGAAGCATTAAATATAGTGAAATTAAAAAAATATATAAAGAAGATTGCTGCTTCTGGTTTTCACCATATATCTCTCTAACAGATTTTCTACCTTGGTGCGATAATAGAGATCAGAATGTTTTAAAGGTTCATGCTAATATTTATATCGAAATGGGACATGGTTGTTTGATTATTTGAGTAAATTGATGTGGTTTTTCAGAACAGACATTAACTGTAGAAATGCCTCTTATGCTGGGTTGGCTAGGATAACTAGTTCAAGGAAGTTTGGCTTGAACTTTTCTAGATCCCTTTCTTGGCTTGAACTGTGCTAGACCCCTTTCTAGGTCTACTTGGGCAGTTGCACTATCCTTGTTCTTTCTATGTTGAACTTAATACCGTCTTTTAGCTTGCTTGGCTTTTTTGGTAAGGAGAGATATAGAAGGATAAGCTAGATTGTTGAATGATTATATTAGAAAGACACTGCGAGTAGCATTTATCGACTATAATGTCTGGAAATTGACTCATATGGTTTGAACATTCACAATGAAGGGAAGAAAATGCACCCATAAAATGGGTTGGTAAACTTAGCATCAAAGGATTAGGCATGAAAATGCTCAGAGCTAATGTAATATGGCAAGAAGCTACATGAAAAAAATGGATAGAATATGTTTGACAATTCACGTGGCATTCAACATGAGTGAATAAAGAATGATGATTAAAAAATCCTGCCACAAATAGGTGTGATGAGGCTGCTAATGATGTTGATGCTGCTATTCATGGTGATATTGATATATAGGTTTTAGTGAATATATCATATACTCAATAGCTAGGCAAATTCCTCTCTACTGCATGAGTACTTGCATATGTAGAAGTCTCATTCACTTTGTATGCCCTAACTTAACATAGCTTGATATTTTGACCCTTGGTCATATTGCTATAGTTATTGGTAGAAATAGATATGTCTGGAAAATTTTGGATCGGTGTTAGCTAGTTGTGATATGTAATTACCTTCGATTTTAGAGGTATGCTTATTTTTATCAATGCCATTTTATTTCTATCCTATTTGGCTGAGTGTTGGACAAAATATATTTAAAACATGCTGTTTTCATTCCCACTAATTTTGCTTTCCATCAGCTCTCTGTAATTGCAATGATTTTGGCTGTGGGTTATGCACATGTAATGTCATCGGCTCATCACATGACCACTGTAAGAAAACTTCCATACATGAAATTGTAGGATTTTAAATGAGAAATTGAGTCTTAACAAGATACAATGGAGAAAAATGATTCATGTAGTCAACCACATATAGTGGAATAAAGGCTTGATATTATTTGTATATTCCTAGCCTTTTATTGAAGGCTTTTGATTGTTTGCTTTCTATTCATATAATGCTTACTAGTCTAGTTTCTTGTTTGTTTGGATCGATGGTTCCAATCTACATTGCTTCTTGCTCAATGTCAATAACTAACGTTGAGCAATCTTTCTTAGCAAATATGAGAAACTTTTTGCCTTTGACTATCATATGAGCCATAGGCTATCTGACATTAATTAGAGCTATTCGTATAGTTATTGGTATCCAAATTTATAGCTTAAGTTATTATGTTTTGGACCTAAAGATTGGTTCAATTAGGTGTGGAAGATAACTAGATTGATTTCACCTTTTTGGCTAAAATCAAAGAAACAGTGTGATATTGGTTCCTTTGATGCTTGTTTAACAACTTCTAATTCAATGATTGGATAATAAATAAGTGTTGATGTAAGTCATTGTTTCATGGCTCAACTCTTGAAATGTTCATGAGCTACTTAGTTCAACTTTTCCTAAGAAGGTAGGAATCCCCATTCAACCAAATGAAAAATCCTATACTTCACCTCCTATTCAATAATGTTATTAGAGACTTTATTCTTTGACTTATTTTCTTTTCTATTTAGGGTTTGGTTTCTTATAATGTCTTTACAAGTGAGGATCTTGAACGTGTGTGATATATGCTCTATATGCTATACTCCATCTTTCTTCTAATGAGGTTTTTTTTCTCTTGATTTTGAGGATGAGCCTGTTTGTGAAGCAGGGTTTATGGTCTGACCCACTAACGACTAGTTTGTCTAAGACGATATATGATTTTTATGACTTGAAAGAAAATATAAACTACTTTCTTTGAGTGATTTATTAAATATGCCAAATTAGATATCTCGAGCATCTTTAGAAATTCAAGGAATTACATATATCGAACATTGAGCATCTTGAAATAGCTTTGGTTTTAATGCAATAATCGGAAATGGAGGTTGATTGGTATCAAATGAATATGTACTTTGAGATAGAACAATAAAGACCAATTTGATTAGTGATATTTGTGAGAGTATGGAAATAATATAGAGTTTCAACAACTGAAATTCTTTTTTCAATCAACAAAGAGAAATTAATCAAGCAACAAGTTTTCCAATAAACCTTACATAGAGCTCTTTGAATTATTGTTTGATGGATGAATTTTTTTATACCGTCATTGTTAGCATTGGTATTATTGAGTCCATGGAAGAAACAACATATTATAATTTTTTAAATCTTGTTTAGAGTTGATGTATTATTTTTCTGTATACTTCCAAAAAAAAAGTAATGAGAATCTTTTGAGATGGTAAAATTAGTTTATTGCTTTGCATCAAGAAAAAATTGATCTTTTTAACAGTTCTTGTTGACATCTTTCTAAACACTGTTCATACACATGGAAATGAGTACTCAAAAAGGATTGTACTAAGCTTGAATATTTCCAATGGCTTAGTAAGGATGCATCATGTGACTTTATGACAACATTATATATTAAGATTATAGCCTAAGCTCAAATATTCCCATTGACTTAGCTTATGAGTTGTGAGTCATAAGGCTCTACTCAATAGGACATGAAGACCTGTGTTAGCCTAGGTTGGCCTTAAAATTCTCCCTTTTGACAAGCTTTCACCTGCATATATAAGGTTCATGTGGATGCCACAACGCCATGATTGTTGACAAAGATTCTTTAATCAATTTGGGTCTACTACATCTGTTGACTAAGCCAAAGTCCATGACAAAATGTGGCGATGTAATCATGGGATTTCAATCAAGTTTATCCATGATATATTCTTTCTTCTAAATTAAATTGTTACAAATAAAAGCAAAACATCATTGAGATTATTAACTTTAATTGTAAAGTCTCTCGTAACCGTGCATGTTAATCATAGAGGCTTGCAACTATAAGAAAATTGAATCATATCATGAAGTCCTCATTAAAGGATGAAACTTTTTTTGATAGTGTCTTATCTAATATCTAATATATATCTTTTGAAATATCAAATTGGAACCAGTCAATGTATGGCAGTGAAGATGAGAATTTTCGCAAAGTGCACGACAATGACTATGAGCTGTGTTATTCTTCCTCATGTTAGGTTGCTATTGTGTAACTTTGTAAAGTTGGGATAAAATCTCTGATGGATTGGCCGATTTGATTGGGAGGGAATTATGAAGTTTCTTATTTAAAAGGAAACTATTTAGGAAGGTTCTTAATCAAAGGGAAATTATTTAGAAAACTTTTTAATTACAATTGAGAGGGGATTATAAGGGACAAGAGATCTAATTTGAATCAAAATATAAGAGGGGATTATATTGGGAAAGGGAAGATGAATCAAGAGGGAATTGTTAATGAAAGTTTTAATTACAATTGAGAGTGATTATTTAGGGCAAGAGATCTAATTTGAATTCAAATATGAGAGAAAATTATTTAGGAAAAGAATTCTGATTTTAGAGGGAACTAGGGGAGCCCATTTGAGACTAACAATAGGGTGATTTCATATTATGTTTTGGGAGTTTGCTGAATTTAGTTTATTCTTAGGTTATTCGGGCTCTAGTCGAAGGCTAGGGATTTGGGAGAGCCCGATCTTTCTCTCCAATTGAAGATCCAACTGTATCTTGCATTTATCTTTATAGTTCTTTCAATAAAAATTATTTTGAGGCGTTCTTTTCCCAAGTTTTTGTGTTTCATTTGCTGATTTTTATGAAAAGTGCATCAATTTCCTATCAAATTGGTATCATAGTTTAGATCCAAGTACCTATGGCGGGAAGAAAGGTAGAAGTGTTGAAAAGTGATATCGGACAATTGAAATATGATTTTGTAGAAAAGATTTCAGGTTTTTAAAAGCAAATTTCAGTTATCCATGATAAGTTAGATGAGAAATTTGCTATCATGGAGGAGATGATAAATAATTTGCTTGAGGGCCAAACTAAATCGACAACATCAGAGATGAGAACATTGCAGATCGGACAAGAAAATGGGAGAAACCCTAAGATAGGGATAATGAGGGAGAATTAGGTGGTGGAATTTTGGGGGAAGAAGAGTAGATGCCATATTTGGAACCATTTGCAAGGAGGGGAAAGGGTAGAGGAGTAAGATTTTTGGTGGAGCTGCAAAGTTTGGAAGGAAAATAAGATGTGGAGAAGATAGAAGCACCATACGTTGTTCAACCACTCCAGCAAGAATATCGAGAGGTGTTCCAGCCAGTTCAAGGGTTGCTTCCTTTGCGGGAACACGTGCATGTTATCATTTGGAAGGATGGAGTCTCACATATCATTCTTTACCCGTACCATTCTTCCCAACTCCAAAAGGATGAGATGGAGAGTTTGACCAAAGAAATACTGGAGGTAGGAGGTAGGGATCATTCGACCTAGTGACAGTCTATTTTTCAATATAGCGCTATTAGTCCAGTGCTTCAACAACAATTTCTTTTGTTCCACCTTGAGGACAAGGTGACTCTTTGGGAGGGCAATATTGATGAACCGGCCGATTTGATTAGGAGGGAATTAGGAAGTTTTCTAATCAATAGAGAACTATTTAGGAAGGTTTTTAATCAAAGGGGAATTGTTTAGGAAATTTTTTTATTACAATTGAGATTTGATTATTTAGGGCAAAAAATCTAATTTGAATTAAAAAATTAAGAGAGAATTATTTAGGAAAAGAGAGGTGGAATCAAGGGGAATTGTTAATGAAAGTTTTAATTACAATTGAGAGAGAATTATTTAGGGCATGATATCTAATTTGAATTCAAATATGAGAGGGAATTATTTAGGAAAGGGAGCTGATTTGAGAGGGAATTAGGAGAGCCTATTTAAGGCTAACAATAGGGTGATTTTAGATTATGTTTTGGGAGTTTGTTGAATTTAGTTTATTCTTAAGTTATTTGGACTCTAGCAGGTAGTTAGGGATTTGCGAGAGCCGAATCTTCCTCTACAATTGAAGATCCAATTGTATATTACATTTATCTTTATAATTCTTTCAATAAAATTTGTTTTTGGGGCATTCTTTTTACCAAAATTTTGTGTTTCATTTGTTGATTTTTTTGAAAAGTGCATCCACTTCCTATCAATCTCATAAGAAATATTGTAAATATATTTTATCAATAGATCTTGTTGATATTCAGATTAGGCTAGGCCATGGAAGTAGGTAATTGTTATTGATCTTTTGTAGTCACAACAGCTAATGGAACACCCAATTTTCTTCCGTTTATCATGATCAATCTCTGCAATCATATAATGCCGAAATTTGCTATATCATTATCATTAGCGAATGTATCAGGCAATGGCCATGAAAGGCTCAACCTTAGTTGTTTTGTAGCAGAAAAGATCAACAAGAAAAAGATTGCGCCAAACAATATGATAATGCTCCTTCTGCATCTATTCATGAAGAAGATGATGTATTTTTGGGTTTAGATGATGTTCCGGGTAAATGACTGCCTTCCACTTGATTCTTTCTGTTGAAAGTTATCCACAAATATACCATCTGACCTACCTTTGTGCCTTGGCAGTGGAAGCAAAGAATTGTCGAGATGATGACAAGATTGAGCTTTCTAACTATTTCTTTAAGGCCCCTACAAATTTACTTGTGCTTGAAGGGGATTGTTTAGACACACGTGGTGAAGCTTATGAACTAGATTCCTATCTGGTATTGTTTATTCCTGCTAGTTATTGTTAATATATTTGTAGACTATTATCGGTTAACAATCTCAGTAATCTTTTTCATTGTTCCAGTTAGCGTCTAGTGATTTCTATGGAGATTTTCTTCTTTTGGACCCTTGTGATGCGGGAGGCATTGATAGTTTCTTACAGAAAAATGCTTTTAATAAAGCGAAGCCTTCAACTTACAAGGGCATCTCTGGCCAACCCAAGACAAATGAAAATGTTTCCCAGACTCCAATTGGAAGATCTGGGGGATCTATTAATGCAAGTCTTAGGAAGAACCAAAAGTTCAGTGTAATTGAAACACCAGTGGTTGACCATGCCTTTGAAAAGGATAGTGTGAATGAATTTTCTGAACCACATGCTGATCAAAATCACCCTGAAGAAACATATTATTCTGAGGAAACACATTTTGGAGATGCAGATACTCATTATGATCCTGACGAGGAAGAAGATCCGTGGAAGCCTTTAAATCCTCATGAACCTGGGAACTTGAAAGTAAAGGCATTTAAAAAAGGTTCTAAATGACTTATTTTGTATATTTCAATTCCAAACCTTTATAAACTAAGATGTATTTGTTAATATTGTGCTTACTCCATGAACAGGTAGAAATTTAAGACAGAAGGTAAATCCTATTTCAAAAAAGAAAAATCAATGCCCTCAATTTCCCCTCGCAAAGATGAATGGTATTATCAGTTCAGAGCTTGCTGAATCCATTGAAGTGAAAGTCCGCCTAAGTGAATCACAGAATGCTTCTCAGTCTCCTGCTCTATATGAAAAGGTACATCTTGCAAGAACTGTTTTTTGTGCCATTTTACTAGTTTATAGCTTTGCAGATTTATATGCTCATTTGTATAACCAGTTGTTTGTTGCAGCTAAGAGGTTCTCTTTCCTTAGGAGGTCATGTGTCTTATGATTTCTTTGCTGGTCTTGGAGCTGAAGACCAGGATACTGGACTTGAGAATGACCTTCCTGATTTTGATCAAGATGACTATGATATGGCCATGGAACCACCAAGTTATGGTGAGAAGGTTAGAGCTCTGCACTCTTTGATATCATCAAATATTTGGGTTAGCAGTCTGATGTTTACATGCACTAAAAACAGGAAAGTGACTGTGCAACAAAACATGGAGCCGGATTTTCTTCCCTGGATGATCTTGATTGCAGTCAAAATCTTGAAGATCTTTGCAGATCACATCTGGTAAAAGCAACCATTTGAGATTCCTTAGGAAAACGTTACATACACACACACACACATTTGAGTTCGCAAGCAAACCTAACAATAAATTGGTACAAACAGTGAGAAAATACACAATACACCAATGAAATTAACTCCAAACAGTAGTTTTTATTATATAGAACAAAACAAGCAAACATAAAGCAAAAGATACAATTGATCCTCAATTTGAGACGAGGATCGTTCTCTCCCAAGTCTCTAGACAAATTAGTCTAGAGCCCAAGACCCCAAAAGACTCCAAGAGAGAACAATAATCAAACATGCCCTAACCCTTACCTCTCATACATATTTATAGCATAAATTTTCTAATTACAAATTCCCTCCTAGCCTTAGCCGCCCAATCTCCTTGCCCAAAATAGATTAATTCAAATAGTGGACTCGCCCAATCTCCTTGCCAAAAATAGATTAATTTAAATAGTGGACCCCACTATCTTTGGGCGGCACTAAAAGTTCGCTGCACATAACCAAGTGCCAATTTTTCCTACAGGATGGTCTTCTTGCTATGATAGCTGAAACTGAGAAGCAGACTGAGCTAGCAGCACGTGTTTCAACATGGAAGCAGAAAATAGAGAAAACTCTGAAAGACCAAGTTAGTTGGGTTACTTTAGCACCCTTTGGATCATCTCCAGGTTCTCCTAGTAACAGTTTTTTTTATTGGTGTCTTTTCTATGCAGGACAAGCACCCGGCTTTTGATATTCACCAATATGGTGAGAGAATTCAGGATAAATTGTCCCTTGAAGCTGATGATAGTGGAAGCGTGACCTTCACTGATGTTGTTGTAGGCCAGCCCAAGCATGAGGTTGCTAGGACATTTTCTGCTCTCCTCCAACTGGTACTTCTCTTCTCGTCGCTTCCTTTGTATATATAAGCATCATTAAGTTATTATCAAGCCAACCTCAATTGAACAAGGCCTTGTTCATATTTGGCTCGTTAAAATGTATGCGCTTATAAAAAACTAATAAAATTTGAGCTAATTCTCGGGGCAAGTCGAACAAAAAACTAGGGGTGTTAATTTCGGGTCACGGGTCGGATTTGGGTTGAACCCGAAATTGACCCGACACTATCCGGGTCAACCCGAACCCGACATGTTTTTGCAAATGGGTTGATTTTTCGGACCTGAACCCAACCCGCTTCAGGTCCGGGTCAATCCGACCCGACCTGAACGACCCGTTGGACCAAAAAACTGCCAGTTTTTTGGTCCAAAAACGGGTCGATCTTCACTTTTAGGGTCAAAACGAGTCAATCTCGTGTTGTCGGGTCAAAAATGGGTTTTTGGGTCAAACTGGTCAATTTTGGGTCAACAGGTCAACCCGAGCCCGACCCGATTTTTGAAACGCATCGAATTGTTGAACATGAACATGACCCGTTTTAGGTTCGGGTCAATCTAACCCGAAATTTTCGGGTCGGGTCCAATATTAACACCCATACAAAAACTAGTGTTTTTGATGGCAATTTTTTTTGTGCGGACGCCGAACGCTGTCCAGAGACCAACCAAAATGCGTAACGTCATCGTCGCTCGGTACCGCGGATCGGTATCGCTCTCGGCACCATGCTCGGTACTGTTGATGTGATGCATTCTGATTGGTCTCCGTATTGTGAACTGCGTTCTGCGTCCGCACAGAATAATTTCTCATTTTTTACAGCCTAATTGCTTGGAATACCAAAATCAACTGCATTTGATCTGTTTGGCATGATCTTTTCCCATTTCAGGTAAATAATGGAAATGTTGATTTACAAAGACCTCAACCAAGCGATGATTTGGTTTGCTACACAGCAAAAAAACCCTTCCACATCAAACTTCTTCGCAGCGAAAGGCGAAAAGTGCAAATTAATGTACCTTCAACCAAGAAGAGACTGCCATCTCCTTTACACAAAGGTAACGAGACCTCCTCTCCATTGAAGCCATCAAAAGCAAATGACAAGCTATCTGTAAAGCTCAAGAAGGGTGGCTTAATTCGTCATACTCCTGAAGGAAAACGGAGGCGAAGAGCTGGTCTTGCTAAACTTCAGCATTCAGCTACTGATGTGTGAAAATGGCCCTCTGAACTTCAAATATGGTGAAAAATAGTTGCAGAATGCTCGCTCATCAATGTATTGTAGCTCAAATAATCCATCCAAGTCTCAGTTAACATTGAGGCAGCAGGGAAATCTGCATTACATTATGATGCCATAGAGTAGGAACTTAAAATGTAAAGTTTGGGATTTTTTTTCACAAGCCTGTATGTAATATAATCGAACAGTAGATTCTTAATTGTCAATCTCTCATTGTATTAGCTGCCTAAGTGTTCTTGATTAGTTTCTCCGGGCGTTTATGACAAAGATGATTATTTTTGGATTCACTCTTTTTTTTTTTTTTTATATTTAAGTCGATTAAAATAAATTTATACACATAATATATACACAAGCTGTCAATTCAGAATCTCTTAGTTGATAGTTATAGTTCTCAACTAAGAAATCAAGATGAGCAGTCAATCTAATACATTCTTCTTTTTGTTTGATATTTGTGTTGCTTGATAGTTGATCTTTATTTTTTATTATTGTTTTGTTGAGCGTAAAAATACTATTTATTCTAAATCAACTTTCAAATACTCTATAGGAATTAGGGATGTTCCTTTGAATGCAGATAGGCTAATTTTGAGTGCACTAGAGAAGGTAACTCATTCAAATATCAAGATTAATAATAATAATAATAGGTATTTATTTTATTATGTGCGGTTGCTTATATGTAGGGGTGTTAAAAATGGGTTCTGGGTTGAGCTTGATATTGACATGTTGTTCGACATGACTCAAATCAGACTTGACTTGCCAAAAATGCCTAAAATCGGGATCAACTTGACCCGGCACGGAGGACCAGTGGTCGTTCAAGATTCGCATGTCGTGTAGTGCTGCATGTGGAGGCGGAATGCGCGGGTTGGACTCGCGGGCAGAGGTTGGAGGTCGGACATGCATGTCACGCAGGCCAGACACACAAGCTGAGATTGGCAAGACTAGGGGGGTAAATGAGTCGGGTCGAGTAGTGGCCTTATTAAGCTCGATTAATTGGTCAAAAAGTTAGTTGAAACTAGAGCATGAGCTTGAATTGCCCCACTGTAAACGAGCTCGAGCTAACTTAAGAGCCTCAGTAGTCCACGACATCCGCCTTTTGTGATTGTATCACCAGTGTATCGTGACTGATCGAGCTCCCACGCGCGCCCGCCTCGTTACACGTGTGCTTGTCGCTTCGTTTCGCCTGCATAGTTCCGCTAACAGCGAATCACCTACATCGTTTTGCAAACATCGAACTGTCCGCCTCATTCTACCTTTTTAATTTTTTTAATATTTAAATATTAATAATTATTCGAGCCGCTAGCGAGCTCGTGAGCCGAGCCTCATTAAGCTCGAACTCGAGCTCGACTCGTGAGCTCGATAAACTCGGCTTGCGAGCCCTAAACTAGTCACGCTAGAACGGACTCGACTCATTCACACTCCTAGTTGGGACGCCCGGGCAGGAATCACGGGCGAGACGCTTGACGCGTGGCCGCAAAGGTTGGACTCGTGGTGGGCAGGATGCCACATGGGCGCGCAGTGCAACTGACTTGCATGGTGTCACAATTAGGGTTTGCGGGTGTAGCACGGGGACAGTGTGGCCCATGCAGTTGCTGGCCTATGCGGGGCAAGTAGGTGAGTGACGAAGTCGGAGGGCTGGTCAAATTCAAGTTAACTTTGGGAGCGGGTTGACCAAGACCGACCTGATTTTTCAAACGGGTTGAATCCTAATCTCGAACCCGGACTGTGACCTCGAATTTTTGCCCAGACTTGGCCTGGACAGTTGACTTGGTCAAATTGACCAATCCAGACCCAAGGACTCCTCCAATGGGTTCAGTGAGTCGAGTCGAGTCCGTGAGCCGGACTTGGACCTGACGTCAACCCAGATTGACAAGTCCAAACCGGGGTTTGACCATGGGATTCCCTTTAAGCTAAAAATCAATTCAATCACAATTCATGGCATCCAAGCTCAAGCCCACGTCTCCCCTTGCCTATCTGACTGGTTGACCAGATGTCAATGGTTGATTTGGTCAACCCAAAGTCTTGAATAGGTCATAATGACCTATTTAAAGGGATTAAGGCCTATTATTCCATAATTCAATTCCTTGGATTTCAAATCAAACCCACGCCAAAATCATTAATCCTCTTCCTTTT